GCGACAGAACATGCAACAACTACTTTTTGCGCGCCCGCTCCAAGATGGCGCGCCCCGCGCGTCGAATATGACAGGATGTCTCGAGCGGGGCGCCCGGGCGGTTCTGGGGGCGTGGGCGCAGCGTGATTTTCTGGAGGGCGCGGCTATGGGAGCGCGAACGCAGCGCCATTCGCAAGGGGGCGCGGCCCTGGGGGCGCGGACGCAGCGTAGTCTGCAAAGGATTGTGGCCCAGGGAGAGCAGACGCAGCGCAATCGACGCGGGGTCGTGCGGGCGCGGGCGCAAAATTGTTCGCAATGGGTCGTGGCCCTGGGAGCGCGGACGCAATGTACTTAACTGAGGATCCTGGCCCTGGGGGGGCGAACGCAATGTAATTCGCCGCGGAGCGTGGCCCCGGGCGCGCGGTCGCAGCGCAATTAGCGAGGGGGCGCGGCCCCGGGGGCGCGGCCCCGGGGGCGCGGCCCCGGGGGCGCGGGCGCGGGGGAATTCATGAAGGGTCGTGGCCCAGGGAGAGCGGGCGCAGCGTAATTTGCGCGGGGTCGTGGCCCTGGAGGCGCGGGCGCAGCGAAATTATGATGGATCGCGGCCCTGGGGGCGCAGCGTAATTTACGAAGGGTCCTGTCCCTGGGTCAGGGGCGCCCCGCGGCGCGTTCCCTGTCGCGTCGCCTGGCGCGTCGCCTGGCGCATTCCCTGGCGCGTTCCGTGGCGCGCCCCGTGGCGGGCCCCCCCGGCGCGTCGCGCGGCGCGTCCCCTGGCGTGTCCCGCGGTGCGTCGCTTGGCGCGTTCCGCGGCGCGCCCCTTCGGCTCGCTTCGCGGCGCGCCCCCCAGGCGCGCCCCCCTGACAGCGCACAAATGCATTTGCCATGGGGGTCCTTAAAAACGTTTCCATGCCTCGCAGTTCTCAATCCCTCTCCGGGTTCGTGGGTCGATCATGTTGGCCCGAATGGTCCCCGGGCCCCCCGTTCCTCTCTGACTTTGAGGGCGCGTCGACGGCCCGCTTCGGTGTCCATCCCGGGCTCCCCGGCGTGCCTGAGGGGCTGGAAATGGATCTCCTCGTCCTGTAGGCCGCTGGCGATCGACGTGCTCAGGTCGAGGTTGCTGGCCAGGATGACTGTCCTGAGGGGGCGGCGACGGCCTCGTTCAACTGGTCGGTTCATGACGTGGCTGGATGGTGCGTTAAGGGAGCACCTGCATGAGCATGTAAAGGCTGCCTACGAAGCGCGCCCTGATGTCGTCGGCCCACGCCCCGATGGTGGGCCCAGGGGTCTGGTAGGGAGCCTTGTCGACGACCTCGTAGAGGAGGGCCCCGGCCCATTGAATGGTTTGCCCGCGCCCTCGGAGAAAGGGCATGCTCGGGGCGAGGGGGTCGCTGACCCCAATCAGAGCGGCGAGGGCCCTAGCGGCGGCATCGGTCAGAACTTCCAGGGAGAGCGGGGCCGCGGGGCACCCCGCGGCGATGGCGCGCTGGACCAACTTCTGCACATCCATGGCGTCGAAAAACTCCTGCGTCGAGGGCCCCCGCGACGATGGCAGCGGGGGGGCGGCGCTGATCTCGGCGAGGGCCTCGCTGATGGGCGCCGCCTGTAAACAGTCGCGCTGCCCTTGATATCTGCGTCGCAGAACCTGGCCTCAGCGCGCCCCCAGTCGGAGGCCTGGCTTCGGAGGCCCTCGCGGCCCTGCGGGGGGGCGCTAGCGAGGGCAACGGGCCCATCGCTGGTCTCTATGCTGGGCTCGAGGGCCGCGAGGTTGATGATGCGTGTGGCCAAGTGCTGCTGGCGCTGAAATATCGTTGATCATTCCAATTCGGATTTCCAACCATGGTTCTTGTAGCCGAAAACATGCGGTTCCACCCGCCGCAGATCCGCCCCTGGCGCTGAGTTGGAGGAGAAGGACTTGAAGGCGGCGCTCACCTGTTTAAGGCTGGACCCGGAATCTGCGCCCCAGAGGCCTCGGGCTGGCCCCCTGCGTTGCTGGGCCCGCCGGGTCTCAGGGGGCGCCGTCAGGCAGGCCCTCTCCGGGCCCCAGAACTTCATCCAAACGCGCGCCTGTGACCGATCGCCAGAGAGGGGCCAGGCATGATGTTGCGAATGCCACCTGTGAAGATGCCATTGTTTTCCTCTGGCGTTGGCTCTCAAACTTTCATGGCGCGGCGAGCCTCCCCCCCCCCCGTCCGCGGGCAAACGAGTCGTCGAGCCACTTCTGCCCCTGGGGGCCATGTGACCTCCTGGTTGGGGAAGTCGCTGGGGTACCGCTGGAAAATGTGGAGGCCTGCGCTGCTGTTGCTCGTCTCGAAGTGGCCCCTTTCTTTGGCAATTTGCGGGGTGGGTGGAGGTGGCGCTGGAAAGGACAGGGCGGGTGGGCGTCCTTTCGCTCGCACTGGAAGCCATTGCTCCCGCCGAAAACGGGCTGCCAGTCTGGCGGGCCCCAGCGACCTCCCTCCCGATGGGGTGGGGCAGAAAGATCTGGCGGAGGAAAACGGTGAAATCCTGAATCACCTGGTTGCTGAAACGGATGTAGCCCACCCCGACTGGAGGTATACCGACAGGAAGACGATGTTCCTTTCTCGAAAACGGATGATGCAGGCCGCTCGTCGAGACACTCCCACTAACGGGTTCGCCTGACCCATCCCTTTCATGATGCGAGCATGGGAATACAAAAAAAACTGCGTCGCAACGGAAAACGCGAACCAACCCGTGCACCTCCTGGCGTAGCTGTGAATGGCGCATCTGCAACTCTTGCTGCCAAGCTTGCTCAGGTGCTTGCGTGCCTCCCCCGCCTTCCCAGATATCAGGTACGTTACCTCTAGCATGATCATCCCCTGCTTGGTCAAAGTCGGAGGTCTGGAATCACTCTTGGCTGTCTTGCCCCATCGTGTGATTGGTGAGAGCGACCTGGACCCCTCGGGGCGGACGGGCGTGCTTCTTGCGAATGCCATCCGCGCTGCTTTCCGTCCTCCTCCCATGGCCCTGGCCGAGGGTAACTGCGCCTCCTCGGCAACGCCCTGGAACCGCTGGAGGGGTCCGCTGCGTCACGTCCCCGACCTCGAGCTCCGTCCGCCGCTGCCACGTCTGGAGCCTTTGGCTTGGGCTTCGGCTTGGCAGCCATCTTGGTTTCTTGGTGGGCGGGGGCGTAGCTTTCCCGTTCTCGGGATCTTCGAAGAACTGCTTGGCGTTTGCCGCGTCCGTGCCCGCCATAACGTCGCTGTACCTTTTGAGGTTCTCTGGTATATGGGGGAAGACTGGCTTGCCTCGAAGCTCAACATCCTCCTCGCCATTGTCGTCCTCACCCAAGGGCTCCTTGCCTCCCCATCCACGGGTGACCTCCAGGCAGGATTCCTCGAACATTGCCCTGGCCTTTGCGAGCTCGTCCGAGGTAGACTGGATGCCGGTCCTGGCTTGCTCGATGTCGTTCTCGAGCTTGGCGATGTTATCCTTCATGGCAAGCTCCGTCTTCTCCAGCTTTCGTACTTCATGTGGAACCGCTGTCGCTGCGGTTGCCAGTGGCTTCTTCGGCCGCGCGACCAGGCCCGAGATCGTCGAATGCGTGTCCTTTCCGATGGTCTGTTTCTGCCCGGCGGTGAGAGCATTCAGGAAGAGGCCCACAATCTACTTCATGCCCTGGCCTTTGTCCGAACTGATCCTTGGAGCGACGGGCTTCTCGACCTTCTCCAGCCTATGGTAAGAATTCGGGGTGCGGGATGGTTGCCCGCACGGGCGGAAAATCTTCCTCCTGGCCGTCTTGAGGTATGGCTATTGCCCACAGTCGGCGCGCATTAAATGCGAGGCGGGGATTTATCCATATCCACCGCTTGGGAACCGACGTCCTGGTGCCCCAGCGGGCGGTGGATATGGATATAGTTTGGCCCCCAGGGGCCCGAATACGTCCATATCCACCGCCTGCCGAGGCTCCGAAAACAGACCCTCCAGGCGGTGGATATGGATAAATTCCCGCCTCGGATTACATACTTGCGGGTGCGCTGCTGCTGGTGCTGAGCCTATCCATGGCGACTGCCGGCGAGTGCGTGCGACCGCGGGCTGCCACCTGTTGGCGAATAGAGGCCCGAGCCACCTCCTCGCCTGCGTCCAAGCCGAAGCCGCCAGGGATCGAGGTTCCTTCTCGAGCCAAAACGGCTTGAGCCAAAATGGCTACGGACCTCCGCCACCTCCTCCCTCCTCCTGGAGGGGGAGAGGGGTGAGGTATGAGACAACGAAGAGGGGGAGGGAGGAGCAGGAGGGATGCAACATTCAATACGTTACAAAACGCGAAATCGAAGACGTCTTAAGGAAGAAGGAAAAGACCAGGTTGAAGAAAGGGGAACGCCATCCATAGTGCAACTGCTGGAAACTTTTGTAACGAATATGCGCCACACCAATGCGAGAACCACGTTGAAAATGGGCCGCACTCCATCCGTGTAACTGTTTGATGTTTCATGTTCAGGGCCATTGAGCGCGAGGGAATCTCAGGCTAAGCGCCAGGGTGCAACTCACAGGAGCCTCCCATGCCATCCTGCAGGCTCTTGCGAGTCGACGCTAGTCGACGTTACATCGGCGATTCCTCATCGAATGCCAGACGCTAGCGCACGCTGATGCACTTGAGAGACGAGATTGCCAGGACATGCGTGGCTCTCATGACGTGCTACCCGGACACCCCAGGCCCCCTCCAATGGCATTCGGTGGTGCAGAAGGCACAGGCCGCAGCAACCATAACTTTGGGGCCCAACCGTCGCCAAACGACAAGGGGTCGAAGGCGGCATTCGCGCCCATCCTGCGGGCAACATCTATATCCATATCCGCTGCGTCTTGGTCTTTCTGGGAAGGGGCGCCACAAAGGCGGAGGCGCAGTGGATATTGACAACCATCTAGCCTCTGGAGGCCGGATCTTCATCCATACCCACTGCGCCTGGGGCTTCTGGTGAAGGGAGCCCGAAACTCCAAGACGCAGTGGATACAACATTGATACAAAGCTTGCCCGCACATCCTCCTCACATCTCCACAACCCTCTTTTCCAGTACCGCGCGCGGCTGCCCCGCGAAGTGCCCCCCTCGGCAATGCGGCGCGGCGCCGCCGCCCCCTCCGGCCCTGGAGGGTCAGCGCCGGTACCTCGGCACTGGGCCGTTCGACCACTTCGTCGTCGTCGTCGTCGCCGCCGCGGCCGCCGTCGTCTTCGTCGTCGTCGCCGCCGCCGCAGCCGTAGTCGTCGTCGTCGTCGTCGTCGTCGTCGTCTCGTCGTCATGGTTGTGGTCATGGTCGTGTTCGTCGTCGTAGTGGTCGTCGTCGTAGTGGTCGTGTCGGTGGTCGTCGTCGAATCTGGGAGGCCACACGCAATACCCTGACATCCTCACGTCGCGGAACCATCGCGACGGAACGCTTTATTGGCAACTTTCGGCCTCTGGAGGTCCTCGCGGGGCCTCGGGGTCGTCGATAACTACTCAGGGTGAAGAGCAGGTCCCCAGAAGGGGTCCAGACCTCTGGGGAGCCACGCTGCGAAAACATTACCAAGTCGAATGCCAGAGTGCGGCAAATTCCAGTCGCGACGCCTCGTGTGTTTCGGGAGCCCACAAAGAACATACGAGCCCAACCATGTACACGAAGACGGCCCCCAACCATGTACACGAAGACGGCCCCCAATACGAACGTTCGCGCAATGCGTATTTCCGAAACCAACATGGATTCATGTAATTGCGTGCGCGCCCTGTCTTTTTTTCCCCTGAGCGTTGATACCTCTGGAAGGAGGCCCGCCGGCCAGGCCGACGTGGTCGTCGAAATTTAGAGGCCAGGCGCACAACGGCAGAGGTTCGTGTAGCGGCGACGCGCGCGTCGATTTCTGGCACCTTGTGGGTTCGGGGATGGCTCTGCCTGGAACGAACCGACGAGACAGACACACAGACCAGCACAGGGGGGGTCCTACGCGGGTGCAGCGGGTGGGCGCTGGGGCGCTGGCAAAAAATGGACTGGCCGCTCAAAGGCTGGAGTCGGGTCGAATCCGGAATCGGAAAGATGAGAACGGGTGCCGGGGTCGTAGAAATGGGAGCCGGAGTCAGAGGAGCGGGGCCCAAAATCGGACAATCAACAAAGCTGCGCGCCGGACTTCGGGAAATGGGGGGCCAGAGTCGGAGAGCGGGGAACTGGAGTCGGAGAGGCGGGTACTGTAGAGCCGTGAGCCTGGACGGAACGATCGCGGCTTGTCGATCGCGCGGATCGCTCGATGTCGACCGATTCTGGACCACTGGCCACCTGGAACGCCCGAATCGGATGCCAAACGCGCTGACGCAGGGACAGGCGCCGGTCAGGGGACGACGGCGAGCTCGGGCTCCCCTAAGGGTGCGCCGACGGAGGGGGGGGGCCAGCAGTGCGGGGGTGGGCGCACCCCGTGGCCCGAGGCACGTGCGCGGACGAAGGGGCGGGAGGGGGAGGGGAGCGGAAGAGGGGGCGGGGCCCGCGAGAACTGGGAGGTGTCATGGCCCCAGCGCCATGATCGGAGGTGAGGGGGGGAGATCGACGTGGGACGGAGAGGCCCCCCTACCGGGAAATCGGGTGGATCGGGTGAGACTGATCGAGCGAGGCGTTGGTCCCCCCCCCCCCCGAACCTCCTTATCACTCGAAGGGTGGTCGTATAGGTAGCTGATATCCACGCAGCGGCTTCGGGATGCCTGGGCGGGGCGAGGGGCGCGGCAAAGGCCTCGACCTTCGAGACTCGAGCGTCGAGGAGGAGCGGGATGGCGTGCACACCGTCGCGGTGCGGCGTGAGAGCAGGCGACGGCGCCGAATACGAAACGGCGAGACGAGCCCTCGGTTGGTCGACGAAGAGGATGGAATCTGGGTGCCCCGATGTCCCCAGACGCCTCCGGAGGTCTCCAAGTCGCTGGAGGCCCGAACTGGGCGAACAACGCGGACAAACCTCGATCCTCGAACCTTGAGGGTCGAGGACCAGCGGACTGGAATGGACCCCATCGTGGTGCGACGTGAAAGCAGGCGACTCGAAACTTCGAGGCCAGCCTTCGGTTGGTCGTCGAGGAGAAAAAGGAGGAAGGAGGAGATGGAGGAGACGGAGGAAGGAGGAGAAGGAGGAGTATCATATAACACACCTATCGGGGCCAATACTAGTTTCAGAGAACACATATAAGGGGAGGAGGAGGAGGAGGAGGAGGAGGAGGAGGAGGAGGAGGAGGAGGAGGAGGAGGAGGAGGAATGATAATAGGAGGAGGAGGAGGAGGAGGAGGAGGAGGAGGAGGAGGAGGAGGAGGAGGAGGAGAACGTCCTCTTGTGGACGCTTGTCTTCCCAGACAAGACAGCGCGTGGTCCGCTGCGCGGCCCCGCGCCTCCGGCTCGGGGGTAGGCTCAGGGGGGCGCGCGCGGCGCTTATGACCTGCTAGTTGATGTTGTAGTCGCCGAAGATGGCGGAGTTGAGGGCGCCCGCTGGCGCGTTGTGGAAGTCAGCGACCGTGTCGGTCGTCATGGCGTTGTCGCCTCCACCACGCCTGATCCTCTCTTCTTTGGCCCGGTAGGCACGGTACATGGTGGCCAGGCGGGTGAGGGAGTGGCGGATGATGTTCTCGCCGCGGTCGTCCATGTTATGCTGGCCACTTCCGATTCGCGTCATCACATCATGCGAGAGCTGGCCGCGCGGCAAGGCGACGTGGTGCCAGAGGTTGCCGCAACTTATGTAGTGCGATTGATCGCCGAGTCCATCCGCGAATCCGAAAATGATCTCATCCTGAAGAGATCCACGTGCGTCCTGTACGTCGTTGGCTATCACCCTGCGAACGTCTCCAATCTGGGCCACATGCGGGACGGCGGCATCACCGCGATCTGCCTATTGGCGGAGCTTCTCGGGCCTGCTTCAGAAGTAACTCTTTTGCCGCCAGGGTAGACCTCTTACGCTGCCATTGGAATACTCGCGATAGCTCTTCCAGCTGCTCCTCTGCCTTGCCCAGCTGGTGCTGGTTCTCATCGCCAACATCCTATCAATCTGCCTGTCCCTCCGAGCCCCATGCTCGTCGAAGAGCTGCGCGTTCCTCAAGGAATCGTCGTTCGGCGCAATTCTCTTTCTTCGGTGGCAGCAATGCAGCGCAACGCAAAAGTCTGACGCCGAGGCGCGTGGACACAACTCTACATGCAATGGCGGCAGACAGCGGACTGCCAAGCCACCCAGTCTCTCAGATCTGCTGGTACAAGAGCAGCACACCCGTCTCGCACATGACGGGCTCCAGAGCCTGCCAGACAGCGTCGGGCGAACTCGTGGCTGCCAGCTCCATCGACTGCTCTTCGATCTCTCTGACCTGGCCCTCGACGGACTGCGAGAAATCCCCGTTTTTCTTCCACGCGAAGAATCGCCGCCATCATTGCAGCGCCACTGGCTCGGGGGGGAGATGGAAGTTCTCTAGGGTCCTTCTCATAACGCAGCTCCAGCAGTACAGGGATGTGGTCGCGCGGTGGAATGCCTCGAACAGCCTATTGCATGTGTCCCAGATCCCGAACTATGCGGCAGCGCCGGAGACGATCTCACCACCCACGAGGAAGGAACCAGTTGCCGGTCATGCTGCCCTTCGATGGGTTGTTTGTCGACCAATACGTATGTGCATGAGGACTGTACGAAGTCGCAGACGTCATGTTCTGTTCCACGAGGAATTGCCGAATCTTTTCCCCAACGCCATGTCGGCGTCTCTGTTTCTCTGACTCGTGTCCTGATGGCCCCCCAGAGTTGGGCAGTGAGGTTCGATCCGCGTACCTGACTTTACCTGCGCCCCCAATCCTTCATGGACGTCCGCGTAAAACAAATGCGATTGTCTGCATGGTAATAAGACTCGGAGCATCGACCGCCACCATTTTGTCAAGGCCTTGACCGTCTCGTGGTAAATCGCATTATCCTAATGCCTAATGTGTCCGTGGCCGGCGGCGTGGTGATCGATCACCCCGTAAGTGATAACGATCGCCTCTTTCTGCACTCGAACCGTCAATCCCTGTCCAGCTAACTGCTTCAGTGGGGTCCGCGTTTGTCGCACATGTTCGTCACGACATCCGGCTCGAATAATCACTGCACAGCCTGCTGCCGTAGTCGTCAGAACGGCAGATTGGTTAACCTCCTTTAGGATGGTACGACAAGTCAGTCTCGTACGCAGAATCCCTCCGCCTTTCTGCAGACAGCCTGCGTGCCGCACAGCAGCACGGCGTCACACGTCTGATCGGCTCGCCCACATACGGCCAACAATCGGATCAAGAAGTTCATCGCTGAAGAAAGCTGGGCCAGCTTTCCGAAGGTTCCTGACCGTAGGGTTGTACATATCCGATCGCTCGCAACGCGGAGCCGGCAGCTGGCGCCATCTGCTTGGCGACTGGCGGGCGCCGATGCCGTCGCAAAGGCCATGGGCTGTGCGGCGCGACGGTGTTGAGAGCCCCCCGCTCATACTGGCAAGATGCTCGAGCGAAGAGGGGCCAGGAGGAGGGGGAGGAGGAGGAGGAGGAGGAGGGGGAGGAGGAGGGGGAGGAGGAGGAGGAGGAGGAGGAGGAGGAGGAGGAGGAGGAGGAGGAGGAGAGGAGGAGGAGGAGGAAGGTCAGGAGGACGAGGACGAAGAGAGGACGAGGAGGGGGGAGGGCGCGCGAGCTCGCCCAGGGCTTCTGATCGGCCCCAATCGGCCCAGCGGCGGTCGGAGCCGGGGCTCGGCTCGGGCAGGCGCAGGTGGGCGAGGTCCAGGCCGAATTCCCACAGCAGCTTCCTCCGCCCGGCGCCCCAGGAGGAAGGCAAGGCATCTCCTGCTCCCCCCAACCTCAGACGAGATGACTTGTTCAACCCTGCAACGTTTCCTCGACTTCGGCCACTGGGGTCCGTTCTCCGGCCCCGGGGCCACAAGTCCATCCGGGGCGACAGACTGATCACGGGGCAGCGGTAGGGGCTCCTGGGGCCGCGGACTGAACAAACTAGATCGGCAGATGTCCAGGAGCTTTCGCCAACTACAGCGCGCACCACGAACGTAACTACAGGGCAATTTTTAATACATATGATCTTTTAACACTAGGATTTTAAATACATGATTAATGTATGACTAAACTCATGCATGAACTCATCGTTGTTTTTGGCACTAAATCCTTGCATTTTGAATACATGATCCGCACGCGGAGCATGTATTCAAAACGGCACTGTACCAAGACGCTGGGAACCGCCGCGGCTGATTCCACGCGTGGGGCGTGCGGGGGCCACGCGCTGGACGCACGAGCTGGGGGGCCGACGTGCCTGGCCCGAGGTGCGAGGGCCAGGCGCTGGAACGACGTGCGGCCCTTGACCAACTCTGGGGGCCCTGAGCCAACCAGCGGCGGATTTTTCGGAAACCCTGGATCCAAAAACGCTCTCATCTCCTGGGCGCGAGTATGTTGCTTCTGCCGCTTTCCGCCAGTCTCCCGCCGCTTTCCGCCGGCTTTTCCGCCGGCGGAGGCGGCCCTGCTTTCCTTCCGCCGACCTTCCGCCGCGGAAGAGATGGCAACTCCTGCGGTCAAGGAAGGCAAGTCCCTTTCTGGAATGCCTCAAATGCTGACGTCTCAGTTTTTGGGCGCCCGAAATGGGCACGGAAAGACTGGGTACAATGCCCAACGACAAATGTTGTCCCAAACCAACAGCGGCCGCTGTTGGGCAGGCGGCCTCCTGTCTCAAATGGACACAGGCCTGGGCGGCACGGACAGCGAGCCCTGTTCAAAATGAACAGGAACTGCTGTTGGGCATTGTACCCACGCTCTCCGTACCCATTTCGGGCGTTGGTAGATAGTGGAACCTGGTTTAGTGATCTGTACCGAGGGCGCCCCCCCGTCCCATTTCCACTATCCGGAACTGCCGCCACCCGAAGAAACACCAGCTATGGCAAACCTGGTTTAGCGATTCTGGCCAATTCAGAGGCTCCCGGGCCCTACCACTCACCGGGTCCCCTTACCCGGGGTCCTGGCCATACCCAAATATGCGCCAAAGACAGCCAAGATCTACTCCATGGGGGGGGGGGAAGGGGGGTGCGAGGGCCCGCGCCGATCAGCAAGACACTGAACAACAAAACGATCACTCAACTCCCTTTCTCCTCCAGGGAAATCCGCGGGTCCTGGCCACACCCGACCATTTCGTCCGTGCAGACTTTTTACCTCCGCCGCCTTCCGCCGACCTTCCGCCGGCGGAGCCGCTGCCATGCCGCCTTCCGCCGGCCCTCCGCCGGCCTCCCGCGCGGCGGCACCGCCGAAGGGCCACGCTCGCCGACGGCGGGGCCCTCTCGCGCGTGCCAGGAGGAGGAGGAGGAGGAGGAGGAGGAGGAGGAGGAGGAGGAGGAGGAGGAGGAGGAGGAGGAGAGGAGGAGGAGGAGGAGGAGGGGAGGAGGAGGAGGAGGAGGAGGAGGAGGAGGAGGAGGAAGGAGGAGGAGGAGGAGGAGGAGGCGGAGGAGGAGGCGGAGGAGGAGGAACGGGAGGAGGAGGAGGAGGAGGAGGAGGAGGAGGAGAAGGAGGAGGAGGAGGAGGAGGAGGAGGGGGAGGAGGAGGAGGGGAGGAGGGGGAGGAGGAGGAGGAGGAGGAGGAGGAGGAGGAAGAGGAGGGCCCCGCTGGCCGAAGGGAACGTGTCCTGCGCGTCCAACTCTCGCCCGGGCCAGCCACGCCGTGCGCAGCCGGCCCACCTCCCCGGTGGCCGCCCTCCCCCCCGACGTGCGGAGAGCCGCAGCCGTGGGCGTAGCCAGCGATCGGGCCGCGCAGCTCTGCTCGCAGCGGCGGGCTCCGTCGCGAAGACCGCTCGCGCGCTCGCGCGCTCGCGCGCTCGCGCGCCAGAGTGCACGAACGCAGGGTGGACAGCTCGCAGGAGACGCACACGCGCACGCGCGCACTCGGTCGGCGGCTCAAGGATGGGGCTTTGGAGGGACGGGGCCCCCAGTGCAGGAAGGGGCCCCAAGCTGATTTGACCCTGCTTGAGGCCCCTCGCCCTCAGGACCGGGTCCCTCAGGGCCCCATCTTTGAACCGGAACCGCCCACTGCATTCTAGGGAACCGAACTCTGCACGCCGACGCCTTTGTCTGGCCTCACACCGACTCTCCCACAGAAAAGCGGAACCTGGTGTATACGGGACCCTGGTGTAGACATTCTTCGCTGTCCCCCTCAGAAAACGAGGAAAAACAAATATGCACCACACCACCCCGACGTCGTCCCGACCCTCAGACAAGTCCTGGGGATTGAAACACCGCCCGCCACTGGTGATGCAGTCTCCGGCATGCTCTTGACGAACGAACAACACACACCCATACCCATAGGGGGGTCGTTGGGAGGAGGACTGGCTATGGGTATGGGTGCGGGTTGTCGGACCCTGGGGAACGCTCCCGTTCGAACGGGGACCCCCATCCGACAACACGCACCCGTAGCCCTCTCCGAACCCCCTATGGGTATGGGTGTGTGTTGTTGGTTCGTTAGCTCTCCCGTGCCACCATCGCTGCGCTGCACGAGCGAGTCGCGCGTCGTGGGGATGAGGGCGGGGCGACCTGCACAACCGGCGCTGCAGCGCGGGCTCGGGCGGCCGTGGTGTTCCGCACAAGGGGCAGAGGCGCACGCACACGCCGCGGCTTGGCTTGCTTCGCGACTCCGCTGGCGACGTGGCACCGCGTTCGCGACGAGGCCTGGACGAGCTGCGTCGGCATGGCCTGCCAGCCTGCGCTGGGGACGGCGCACGGTGGTGAAGACTTCCTGAAGTGGGCTCCTGTTCTTGCATGCGCGCACGGGCACGACCACACGCACGTAGATGCGCGCACACACACACACACACATTCGCCCCGACAGCGCGGTGAGGTGAAACTCTGGTGTTCGACGGCATCGGGTGGCGCAAACGGACGAATGTGGACGAAGCAGAGCCATAGACTCGCACATTGCGTTCAAACCACCCAGGGAGGGGAAGTGCAGGCACTGCGTGGTGCTGGAAGCAAGCGAGAGCAAACACATGCACGATGCAACGCGCACGCGCACACGAAATCCTCGCACATACAATCCTCACAGACACACGCACGCCCACGCACGTACTAATACACACACAGTACAACACAACACACACCCCAACCACCAACACAACCACTTTTCCATCCGCCCGCCAGGTGGCGTCACCGTGCCAAGTGGTAGCAGGGGGCGCGAGCTATCGAATGAATTCCACCAGGCGTTGCTTGTGGTCCAACAGAACCACACACTTTGTTCCAAGCGTGCCAGAACGCTGGGAGGTTGAATCTACCCCGTGCCACTGGGTTAGCGCACAGCGCAAGCGTAAGATGAGGGTAATTTGGGCCCTTCCGTGCCCCAACGAGGAAGCGCTGGCCTTCAGAGCGCCAGGTGGTGGCGAGAGACGGCACAACAGCAGCGGCAAGGAGAGAGAGAGAGAGAGGGGGCGTGGGCGGCGGTGCACCGGGTGCCGACAAGAGTGCGTGCGCTCGTCCCTGGTTCGGCGGAGAATGCTGGGGGCATGCGGTAAGGTGTCTCACCAGAAGAGGGCCAGGGGCGTATCCTTCGTCGACTTGGAGCTCCGCGAGGTGCTCCGAGGCTCCGCGGGCCCATCGGGAGGCAAGACGCGTTCTCACGGGGCACCCGCTGGTGGGTCGGTTTGCTAGTCGGTGTGCTCGCCGTAAACGGGCTCCGCAGACGAAGCAGGCGCACCAGACAAGCGCGGCCAGAGGCCGCGTCGCGCCAGGGCCACAGACCCGTGCGCAGGAGCTGCGGAGAAGGCGGGCCAGAGGCCCGCGCGCGGGTTGGCAGAACGGCAGGGCCGGGCATCCATGTGCAAGTTCATGAGGCGCGTGCGGTGAACGTGCCCGCGACAGTAGAGCCGATATGGCTCCCAGACCAGATGGGTGACCGTCTGGGGGCAAAAACAACATCGCCATCGGTGCGGCGCCCAGGGATCCAGGCGCAGGGTCAGAACGACCCCTCCATGCGCAACGGGTGGCCCTGGGTGGCCCTGGCTGGTTGGTCTAGTGCGCTTGTCCCTTCGAGACCGCCGCTAAGCGATTCGAAACCATGGGCTGAAAAATTGCCCAGACCGAAGCGACTTCTCCAAACACGACAAATGTCGATCCGAGATCACCACCAAGTGATCAGAGACCACCGATCGGACATCGTCTAAAAAGGAGCGGTGGCTTGCGTCCTGTACCCCGGGTCGTCGTCCGCTTCTGCATATTGAGTGCGCGGGCGGGCTGAGCTCAATCGCAGCAAGTGCCGCAGAGCTGCGGACGCAGAAGGAAGATGCGGAGGAGTGGTGGAGAGGAAAGATGAGGAAGGAAGGAGGAGCGGGTGAGAAAAGATAATAAGAGGAAGGAAGAGGTGGAAGACAAGGAGGAAAAAGATGCCCGCCAACTGCCGTGGCAGAGATCGGCACCGAGTCAACATGCCAAGCTCTGGCGTCCAGTGGTCACACGGACAGCTCTCCAAATCAACACGCCCCCCAAGCTCCTGTTTACGAAAAACGCCACGCCCATGATCGCGAACAGCGTGAGCGCCATCGGGTTCTGCGCCATCTCCGCCCAGGTCGACCTGTTACCGCCTGGCATCGCTGCGCCCCGCACTGCACACACGAACACACAAGTACTTGGAGAGGCAAATCAGGGGCACAGCTGGGAACAACACGCATGTTTAGCCTACTCCTGTGTTATATATATACATATATATATGTATGTATATATATATAAATATTTATGTATAAAGGTTAGCTCCGGCCAGAATTCCAAAACACACGTCTATTTCTGCGTTCGTCAAGACCGTTGCCTCCTGCTCTTCCTCTGCTGTCAGGTGCTAAGGGGACCTTCCCCTCCAGCAGCGCCTGGATGTCGGCGAGGCGCGCTCACGCGTGTGATTGACATCGTTGTGTGACTGCGGCGCGTCCGTAGCCTTCTGGCTCAAGCCGTATCCTGGGGTCCCCAGGGCCTCGAGGGGGCGCCCGGACGCTGCTTGGGCCGCCGAGCGGCCGCGTGCGCCCCGGGGGCGCTCCCGCGCGCGGCGGCCGCGATCGCCCCCAGCAGCGCAGCTGCTGCCGTGCCCCTCTCAGGCATGTCAGATCCAGGGCGGGAGGAGGATCGGACGATCGCTCTGGCCGCGAGGAGCGCGAGTGGCCGCACTGCGGCGACAAGGACTGGGCCAGCGAAACCCAGCACGCCACTAGCGGGGGGAGCAGCGATGAGCAGGATGAAAGGTGATCCTTGGTGGAGGTGGCCATCGGCCCTCTCCCAGGGAAGCAGTGTGCCAGACGGACACAAGTCGCATGGGGGCCACTGTGCATCCGCTGGGGACCACTGCGACCAGGACCCCCTGGACTCCCCTGAAGGAGCCCCTGGGAGACCCCAAGAACGGCCCAGCTGCGGCCACCACAGCACCCAGAAGCAGAAGCGGCGGTCCGACGGGGCCGCAGGACGCGAGTGCTGCGCAGTCTGGGATGCCGTCTGGACCCGGGCTGGCCGTCCCAGGTCGCCCCGTGGAAAGGGCGGTACCAACGGCGCCCGCTGCACAGTCCTGTGCGACGATCAGTCGCTTGCCTGGCTCCCACTCGTCCGCTCCGGCCGTTGACCCTAGCGAGCTTGGTGGCCATGCCGGGCCAGGGCCCCCCTCCCCCCGCGGATCGCCGCAGTCAGAACGGACCCTGCTCTGAGAGCAACAGGTGCCCCGACGACTGGGGGGGGTGGTTGGGAGGAGGAGGAGGAGGAGGAGGAGGAGGAGGAGGAGGAGGAGGAGAGGAGGAGGAGGGAGAAGGAGGAGGAGGAGGAGGAGAGGAGGAGGAGGAGGAGGAGGAGGAAGGAGGAGGGAGGAGGAGGAGGAGGAGGAGGAAGGGGGTCTCTCGTGGGGAGGACGCCATCGTGCCATCGTCCCCCCCCCTGCGGCGCGGCATGCGAGGCGGGCACGCGGGGTGTGGGCCCACCGCGTGCCCGTCAGAGACTACCGTGATCCGGGGCCCCCCAGGCACTCCGAAGCCCGTGGAGACCCCAACGATCCCGCCGCGGTCGCCGCAGCACCGGGAGCCGGGAAAAATTGCCCGTCAGAGCTCCACGCTTTTTTTATAAGCCCAGGGCCTTGGGGGTCTCTCGAGTGCCATATGGGGCTGAGGGCCACGGACGGCGCGGACGAAAGTGTCAGAGCTCCACGCTCTTGACGCGGGGTCGCCTGGAGTGCTGTCCGGGCCCGGGGTGGCCGCCCCAGGCCTCCCTGTGGACAGGACAGTGCCAGCGACACTCGACTCACAGATTCGTGCGACGATCAGTCGCCTGTCTGATTCGGCTGCGGTACCTCCACCTGTTAGCCACGACGCGCCCGCCAGTCAACGGGGGTCAGATCGCTTTCCGCCTGGGGACGCTCCCAGCCGAGCGGGATTTGATCGCGTGAATGGCCTGCGTGCCACCGATGGGCGAGGCCACGAAGGGAGGAGGAGGAGGATGAGGAGGAGGAGGAGGAGGAGGAGGAGGAGGAGGAGGATCATTGGAGGAGGAGGAGGAGGAGGAGGAGGAGGAGGAGGAGGAACATTAGGACGAGGAGGAGGATATGATGATGCTGCAGATGATGATGATGATGATGATGATGATGATGATGATGATGATGATGATGATGATGATGATGATGATGATGATGATGATGATGATGATGCTGATGTGATGGTGATGATGATGATGATGGTGATGATGATGAGGATGATGACGGCGATGATGATGACGCTGATGATGATGATGAAGCTGATGCTGCTGTTGATGACGATGCTGTTGATGATGATGCTGCTGGTGATGATGATATTGATGATGATGATGATGATGATGCTGATGTGATGGTGATGATGATGATGATGATGATGATGATGATGATGATGGTGATGATGATGAGGATGCTGACGGCGATGATGAAGACGCGGATGATGATGATGAAGCTGATGCTGCTGTTGATGATGATGCTGTTGATGATGATGCTGCTGATGATGATGATATTGATGATGATGATGATGGTGATGATGATGATGATGATGATGATGCTGATGCTGATGCCGATGCCGATGCTGATGCTGCTGATGATGATGATGCTGATGATGCTGATGCTGATGATGCTGCTGCTGCTGCTGCTGATGATGATGATGATGATGATGATGATGATGATGATGATGATGATGATGCTGGTGCTGATGCTGATGCTGATGCTGATGCTGACGATGATGATTGGGGACGGGTGCGTCCTGGATGGGTGGGGCCCCAGACCGCCGCCAGAAGGCGGGATGGACGCGCGCGTCCGGGGACCCCGCTCCGGGGCCCTCCGCACATCCTCCTGGACACGCTGCTGACGGGAGCCCCTCTGATGCTCCCCCCAACCCCTGCGGGAGCCATGGAGTCACCAATGATGCCCTGGCGCCCGCATTCTGGGAGGCACCTGCACGTCGGGTCCTCTCACTCGGGGCGTGTCCTCCCCCACGGCGCTGCCAGACCGCGGGGCGACGCTCCTGGGTTGCCCCGCGGGAGCGGCAGCGACCGCGTCGTCTGCTCCACAGTTCCCTGCGACGACCCGCCGCGAACTCGTCACACCCGGGAGAGCGCACGCCAGGTGCGTCTCACACGCGTGACTGCCCCCCCCGACCTCGGGCCGCTGCTCCCCAGGGCAGGCCCCGGGGAGGACGATGGAGCGACGCAGCGCTCCCCGCCGCCCCCCGCGCGCCTGACGGGCCCCGAGATCCGTGATCCTCCCCCCCCCCGCAGGGTGGGCGCAGCGGGCGCGGGGTCAGTGGACAGCACGGGACGGCTGCCCTGCCCTGCCCTCCCCAGGGCCGTCCTGACATCGGCCGCGTACCATTCAATTTTGCAATACCAGGTAATCTAACAGATCTTATGTATGTATGTGTATATATATATGTATAGATACAGATATTATTATAGATATAATAAAAATCCATTCAAAAACAAATAATCCAGATCCATATTTACAATCTTTTGCAGTGTACGGAGCCCCCCCCCAGGGGCGACTCCAACGCAGAGGGACGCTGCTTATCAAGGAACGCGTCGAGATCTCCAGGGTCCGGCGGCCACCCGGCGGCAGGCGTGGCAGCCAGCGAGGCCCCCGCCAGGACCGAGGCCTGCCAGGCTAGCACTGCTCCCGGGGAGCAGCAGCAGTCTCGAGGACACGCCGCCGTAGGGGAGCCAGCAGCGGTCTTCGGGAAAAGCGGAGGGGGCCATACGCCGACGGGCTCCCAATGGCAGCGTGTCGCTGCTATACTCTTTCTCCCTGCCGACTGCCCCTGGGGGCCTCCCCCCCCCCCTTGGGTGGCCCTTGGGCCCCCCTCTCTCGAGGGCCTCTCCTCCCAACCGCCCTCTTCTTCGCTCGAGACCCGACGCCAACGGCTGCCCACATTTACCCCTCCCCCCCTTCCCTTCCCAAGTTCGACTTTTTGGGGGTGCCCTTACATAGCAGCAGCATCAGATGGTGGAGCGGTCGACGACGCTGAGTTGGAGTGTCCTCAGGTCCTTCGCCTAATCCCTCAAGCCTCAGTCCTCATCCCAGGCGATTATTTAAGGGCCTGGACCCCCAATTCACAAATCTCTTGGGGCTTGTCGCGTCTTGTCGCGCGACTTTTTCGGGCCCAAGAGGGCTCCAAAACGGGCCAAGAGGGCCGCAAGAGGGACCCGGATCTCCGAACGGTCGGTCCAAGGCGCCCAAGATTGCATCCAGGCGGCCGAAAAAGCGCCCAAGACGTCCCAAGAGGCCTCCAAGAGCCTTCCCAAGAGGGCCCCAAGAGGCCGGAGTCTTTGATTTTCCGGAGGTGTTTCAATGTTTTTGGGGTTCTCCACTGTTCGAACTCCCGACGCTCCAAGACGTCCGAAGTGGCCACCAAGATGGATTCAGAGGCCCCCAAGAGGGCCCCAAGACGGCCCCAAGAGGGATTCGAGAGGGGGAGCACGAACCGAAAAGCCGAGCCTTCCGCCCCAAGAGGCCCCCAAGAGGCCTCAGGAGGCTCCCAAGAGACCTCAAGAGGCCCCCAAGAGGCTCGACGAGGCTCCAAGAGGCCCCAAGAGGCCAAGAGGCCCCAAAGATGCCCCAAAATGCCCGCCAAACCAGCCCCCCAACGGCCTCAAAACAATACTACCTTCAGGGGGCCCCCGAGGGGCCTCAACGAGATCCCAACGAAGATCCACGAGGCCGCAGACCCATAACCCAGGCACGGTGGCGGCGATGGGCCGAAGGCCATTCGATAGCAGCAGCAGCAGCAGTAGGTCGAGGACTCGACGACCTGGAGGAACCGACGCTCGCGCGTCGCCCGGGTGTAGCTATACAGCCATCGTGCTCCCGTCCAGGAGCGGCAGCTGTCGCCGCGCCATGCGTTCTCGACGCACCCCAGTTGGCGACGCCGACGCCACGGCAAACCCACGGCAAGCCCTGCGCCCCGCGCCCGAGAAGACGGCGCCGGCGCCGCGGCAGAGCCACGGCGAGCCCACCGCGGCAGAGGCGGTGTCTGCCCTGGCGGCCGAGGCGCCCCCCCCCGCAAGACGCAGAGGGCCGGGCGTCGGAGCAGGCGGCGCGGCGAGAGACGAGGAGCGCAAGGCTTCGTCGGGCCACTGCGGGCCTCGGCCACGAGCGGGCTCCCCGACCCGGACCTGCGGAGCGGCCCGAGATCTCCGGGGGCCCCCCCTATAGGGGGTGGAGAGACCTCCTACCGTCCGTTGTCGGTTCTCGAGAGGGCGCCGCGGCCGTTGTTTTCCAGGCTTGCGCCCGCCAGGTTTGGGCCCGAGAGCGTTTTCACCGAACGCCAGGTTTGGGCCCACCCCCCCCAGATCGCCGAGCGCGCTCCACTGCTCGCAAGGTGCCTTCTCGCAAACGTCAGAGAGCCATGCGTCTGCCTCGCTGTAATTTAATTGTAGATCCTCTGTGGCGGATCCAGGCCATTTGCGAGCAGCTACTTTGCTAATAATGGAAAGCGCTTGTCTACCAAAGCCGCAAATGGCCATCGTTTCAGCGTCCTGGCTGCAGCCAGAGCGGAGGAGGAGGCGGTGACCAGAGGAACATAACAACGGCCTAGACAGGAACGCTGGAGAACCGAGAGCCAAGAAGTCCAAAAAATCCGCGCGGACCGTCGAAAGTTAGTGTTTACGCAGTGTTTCGCTCTTCGGCCGATGTCCGCTTGTTCTTCGACTGACGCCCGCTCGGGCCGTCCACAATTCGCCGGCCCAACTGGCCAAGGGCGTGCTAAGATCGCCGGTGACTAGTTAACAATCTTCTAATTCGCGCGCGCGGGGCCGCCCCTGGGGGGCCCCGGACGAGAAGTACCCTTGCAAGGTCCCGGCAAGTCCCGGCAGCGTCCCGGCAAGTCCCGGCAAGGTTCTGGCAAGGTCCCGGCAAGGTCCCGGGCAGGTCCCGGGCAGGTCCCTGGCAGGCCCTGGGCAGGTCCCGGGAAGGTCCCAGCAGGCTCCCAAGAGCGTTCCAGGAGCGCTTCAAGTGGCCTCCGAGAGAGCTCAACATGGCCCGAGACGGCCCAAGAGCGATCAGCGATCCAAGACCCTACAGATGGCCTCCAGACAACCCACAGCGCCTTCAAGACGCCCCACGAAGCCTCCAAGAGACCTCCCAAGAGGGCCCACAGAGGCAGACACTCGTTTTTCTTGTAGTTTTTGAAGGTTTTTGGCGCTCTCGCCTTGGGAGCTTACCCGCGCTCCAAGACGGCCCAAGAGGCTTCCAGGATCGCCCCAACACGGCCCAAGAGGCCTCCAAGATCCAAGAGCGCCCAAAACGGTCCCAGAGGGCCCCAAGACATCCCCAGAGGATTCCAAGATGGCCGAAGAGGCTCCCAAGACGGCTCCATGAGGCCCCCGAGAGGCCCCAAGAGACCCCTGAGAGGCCCCAAGAAACCTTCCAAGAGGGCCCACAGATGCACAAATCAGAAATTTCCCTTTAGTTGTTGAAGGTTTTTGGCGTTCTCGCCTTGGGAGCTTACTTGCGTTCCAAGACGGCCCAAGAGGCTTCCAGGATCGCCCCAACGCGGACCAAGATGCCTCCAAGATCGCCCAAAACGGTCCCAGAGGGCCCCAAGATCGCCCCCCAAAGACGGCCCCAAGAGGGGCCCAAAACGGCTCCAGAGGCGCCCAAGATCGCCCAAGAGGGCGCCAAGACGACCCCAAGGGGGCCCAAGAGGGGGAACGCGAACCACCAATTCGAGCCTTCCGCTCCAAGAGGCCCCCAGGAGGCCCCAAGAGGCCCCCAAGAGAGCCCAGGAGGCCCCCAGGAGGCCCCCTGGAGGCCCCACGAGGCCCCCAATAGGCTCAAGAAGAAGCCCCAAGAGGACCCCAAACGGCCCCCAAGAGGCCACGAACGCACAAGCAAACGCCTGCGATGGCACAATACTGTCCAGCGGAATGAGCGAAGCGATTCAATCATTCATGCTTATACAGATTTTGGCTCTTCGACGGACACCCGCCTGTCACCCGGGTGTAGATGTAGTAGGAGCAGCCCATGTGTCTGTCGCCCTCGCCGGCGAGCGTCATCGCGTCCTTGCCGGCGTGGGTCTTCAGCCGCGCGTCGGCGCCGAGGTCCATCAGCCTGGAGACGACCGCCTGGTGGCCCTTCGCGGCGGCGTGGTGCAGCGCCGTGCGGCCTCTCTCGTCCTGCAGGTCCAGCATGTCGAGCATCTGCTCCTGCTCCTGCCGGACCCGCCGATTTCCCGTCGGCAGGCATTGTGCATCCAGCCTTTTTTCCCTTTTAAATCATCAACTATTTTTGATATACATGTATATACATGTACACACATCTATATACACGTATATGTGTATAATCTATACATATATATATATATACAAACATATTATCTGACCGTGGCCGTACTCATCCAGGGGGCCCTCGAGGCTTGCAGGGTGCTTTTCGGAAGCAGTTTTGACCCCGCTTGGGATCTGTTTTGGAGTCTTTTGGGGCCTTTTTGGGGCCTCTTGGGGAGCTGGGGCCTCTTGGGGACCTCTGTGGGGGTCCTTGGTGCCTCTCGGGGGCCGTTTGAGGCCCCCTTTGGCCGTCTTGGGCGCCTATTGGGCGGTCTTGCGGCCCTCTTGGGCCGTCGTCGGAGAAGCTGCTGATGTTGAAAACGTGCGAGGGGACTTGGCATTTTTGGCCTCTTGGGGCTCCCCTGGGAGGCCTCTTGGGGCGTCTTGGGGCGAAAAGGGGGCCTCTAGGACTGTCTTGGTGCCCTCGTGGGCGTCTTGTAACCCTCCTGGCCCAGCTTGGGGCCCTCTGGAAGCCATCAGGAGCCGTCTTGTGCCCTCCAGGCGCGCTCGGGACCCAGCGGCCCCCAGCGGGACCAAGCTCTGGCCGAATCAGTTTCTATGCTGATATAATTGTAGTACAATCAATCATTCGCTCCCGATATATACATGTATGTCACTTGTTGTTTTGGTATGTGTCTGTATATATATATATATATACTTAAAGCAATGTATACCCAGAGGTTTTTACATGTATATATATATATATATATTACTGTTGCTATACTTACATAGGAAAAGAAATATCCGTGGGCTCCTGAGCTCTCAACCACTTCTCCCGGGCCAATTCCTCGTCCCGGATCTTTCCTTGGCAGTCCCGGGCGGCCCCCGCGGGAGCCGAACGAAAGGAGAGAGACGTCGATCTTAAAAACACCAGTCCGCCTACGGGGCAAGAGCACTTTCTCCAGTGCGAGGTTTGCAGATCGTTGCGTGAGATGCGGCAGTAATTAACTGCCTTGGTGCCTCCCGAAGGCCCCCCAAAGCCGCGCACCAGAGGCTACTTTCTGCGGCGCGCCCGGGGGGAAGTGAGAAGGGGCGGGCCTTCTCAGAAGGCTCGGACATCCCCCGGACTTCTGAGAAGTTTTCTGAGCCTTCCCCGAAGACGCAAAAGACCTCTCAGAAGCCGCGAGGGCTTCTGAGAAGTCCCGCAGCCTTCTGAAAGGGCCTTCTCCTCCTCACCCCCCCCTCGCTCGCCGCCGATACTTGGGCGCGCCGAAAGGGGGGGTGGGGGGGGGCGGGAAGGGGAGGGTCAGCGCACCATGGCCCCAGGCATGCGTGCGGACGAGAGGGGAGAAGGGAGGGGTGGCCAGGGAACGTGCTGAGAAAGAGAAAAAGAAGAGGGGGCCAGGCAGCCTGGGAGGATCCATGGCCCTGGCCGTGATACTCCCTCCCCCCCTGGTCCAAAGGCCTGCGAATCATGGGACACCTGGAATCACCACGAAGAGCCTCCCCCCTCTTTTGTGGTGATTCCGAACTTCCCACACTTCCGCATTGCGGGAAATCCCATCGCCGAACGATTGCCCCAGTCCGTTCTCCCCTCTGGGGGCAGTGCCAGAGAGGCCACCAGGGACATCGCCACTCCCCTCGAGCACGGGGGCGCCGTCTCCTCGAGGAGGCGGGCCCCCCGGGACGGGGCACCAAACACTCGAGATACACCGCCGCCCTGTCTGGTCCGGCACTGGCACGGACATTCGCACGGGAGAGCGGGTCCTGGTGTGCACGGGGGCCCTGGTGCACAGTGAACGCTTTCTTCTTCGGCGTGTCGACACTGGGAGGAAGTGCGGGGGAGGGGGGGGTTCTGGCTCTGGACCTCTGTCTAGTGCGACTGTTTGGAACAGTGCGTCCTATGGGGGAGGGGGACTCCGCCCGCTCGAGGCAGGCGCCAAAAACGACCCAGATCTACTCCATGGGGGGGGAGGGGAGGGGAGGGGCGAAGGGGTGGGGGGCAAGGGTCCGCGCCGATTGGCAAGACAGTGTGCAAGAAAACGATCACTAGCGATATCGCCACCTCCTCGAGCAAGCGCCGCTTCCACGAGGAGGCGGCCCCCCAGGACTGGGCACCGAACTCTCTAAGTACACCGACGCTTCGTCGGGCCCGGCACGGACATCTGCACAGGAGTAGGGAGCCCACAAAAGACGTACGCGCCCAGCTATGTACATGAACACGGCCCCTCGATCCGCGAGACCGGCCGCGTTATACGAACATTTGCGCAATGCGTACTCTCGAAACCAGCGTGGATTCATGTACGTGTACGTCCTTTTGTCGCTCCTGAAGGAGAGCGGATCCTGTAGGCCAGCGAGATCTATACACAACCGCTGCTCCTCCTGGCCGAGCCGGGAGGGCGCAGCGTACACACTGCTGCTGGACTCGGGATGGGCGTGGCCAGGGACCAGTGCACATGCATGAATCTCGTCGTCGCCCTATATTCGGGGATGGACAGACCTCCCTTTAGCAAAACGTGGTTTAGTGAAAACGACCTAAGGCCCAAACCTGGCGGGCGCAAGCCTGGAAAATGACGGCCGCGGCGCCCTCTCGAGAACCGAAAACGGACAATTCACTAATCGACGTGTCACTGTTGGGGGTTCTGTCCACCCCCGATATATACGGGACCCCGGTGCGCGCATGTTTGGTTGTTGCCCCGGGAAGTGGATTGAACAGATCTACGCCACACCCACCCCGACGTCGTCCCCGACCATCAACAAGTCCCGGGGCCCGAGAAGCAGCCCGCCACGGGCAGTGAGCATGCTCCAGTGCCCGACGGGAGCACTCCACGGAGCCCTCCGAAGCGACCCCCCCAAAAAACGCCAACAACAAAAAAAACCATCGGGCTGAGCTCCTGGAGCCTCGATCTCCAGGAGCGGGCGACCCCCCCCGAAGTGACCCCCCCTCCTCCTCCTCCTCCTCCTCCTCCTCTTCTTCTTCTTCTTCTTCTTCTTGTTCTTCTTCTTCTTCTTCTTCTTCCTCCTCCTCCTCCTCCTCCATCCTCCTCCTCCTCCTCCTCCTCCTCCTCCTCCTCCTCCTCGCCTCCTCCTCCTCCTCCTCCTCCTCCTCCTCCTCCTCCTCCTCCTCCTCCTCTCCTCCTCCTCCTCCTCCTCCTCCTCCTCCTCCTCCTCCTCCTACCTGGCCCCCTCGGACGCCCCCAAGCGAAGAGTCCACCCACCCCGCGCGCAGCCGGGCACCGCCGCCAGAGGAACAGCAAGAAGGCAGGAACATGATTTGTCAACGGTTCGCGCGGATGTCTTGAATCCGCACTGGGCCCCTCTGGCGGCCACTCCAGCGCCGCCCCTGGCGCGCCCCGCGCGCCAGAGAGGGGATTCTGCCGCGGATCCAAGAAATCCGCGCGGACCGTCGAAAATTTTTGGTTCTGCGCTTGCTTGTTCCTCTAGTCTGGCCCCTCCTCCTGCTCCGCTCCGGCTGCAGCCAGGACGCTGCAACGATGGCCACTTGCGGCTCTGGTAGACAAGCGCGTTCCACTACTCGCAAAGTAGCTGCTCGCAAATGGCCTGGATCCGGCACAGGGGGATTTATACATAAATGACACAGAGGCAGACGCATGGCCTTCTGACGTTTGCGAGAAGGCACCTTGCGAGCAGTGGAACGCGCTCGGCGATCTGGGGGAGCGGGCCCCCAGAGTTTTCGGGCCGCTCCGCAGGTCTGGGTCGGGGAGCAAAAAACTGCGTAAACACGAACTTTCGACAGTCCGCGCGGATTTCTTGGACGTCTTGGCTCTCGCATCTCCAGCGTTCCTGTCTAGGCCGTTGTTATGTTCCTTTGGTCACCGCCTCCTCCTCTGCTCCGGCTGCAGCCAGGACGCTGAAACGATGGCCACCTGCGGCTCTGGGGTCGGGGATGAACAGACCTCCCTTTCGTAAAACGTGGTTCGGTGAAAACGACCTCGGGCCCAAACTTGGCGGGCGCAAGCCTGGAAAATGACGGGCCGCCCGACGAAGCCCTGCGCTCCTCGTCTCTCGCCGCGCCGCCTGCTCCGACGCGTCTTGGGGGGGGGGGGGCGCCTCGGCCGCCAGGGCAGACGCCGCTAGTCTGCCGCGGTGGGCTCGCCGTGGCTCTGCCGGTGGCGCCGGCGCCGCCTGCTCGGGCGCGGGGCGCAGGGCCTGCCGTGGGCCTGCCGTGGCGTCGGCGTCGCCAACTTGGCTGCACGCATTTGAGCAGGGACCGACCGTCCTGGCATTCCTATAGTCATACCACGGAGTGTTCGAAGAACCCAAACATGGTCTAATCACAAAACATGTTCTTAGAACATAATCCCGATGTCTTAAAAGAAGACAGCCCCAGCCAGAAATGTTCTAAGAACCTTCCGTGGGAGCCACAAAAGGTTTTTAGAACATTGTTTGGTGGGGCTATAGGCGAGCCGGGACGCTTCGCTACTGCTTCACGCATGGCGCGGCAACGTCTGCCGCTCCTCCACGGGAGCACGGCCTCACGTGGAAGGCGCCTCGGCCTCGGCCCCGCAGCCCCCCCCAGAGCGCCGCCCGCCCAGGGAGCATGGGGCGCGGCCCCCTTCGTGCGCCCCGCTCTCGCGGGAGCCAATGCCGCAGGGCCCCCTTAAGGCCGGGCCCTGCCCGGCAGGCGCCTGCCCCCCCCCCCCCGGGAGAGCCAAGGGGAGCCCCGCGGGGCTCGAATCTTCGAGGTTCGAGCTGCGAGGGTCGAGGCGGCGCTTCGCCGAATTTTCGGCCTCTGGGGGCCATCTGCGGGCCCCGGGCCCTCCGGAGCTCGATCCGGGTTGAAAACGGGGTCGGGTGGACCCCAGGAGGGATCCAGGGGCCAATTTCTGACTGATCGTCGGCGGCGCGCCCAGGGGGGGGGGAAAACGAAAAGGAGGAGGCCTTCTCCAAGGCGGCGGGGCTTCTCAGAGGCCCTCGGGCCTTCCGAACAGTTCCCTGTGTCTTCGGGGACAGCTCAGGAGACTTGACGACGACGACGACGACGACGACGACGACGGACGACGACGACGACGACGACGGCGGCGACGACGACGGCGAAGACGACGACAACGACGACGGACGACGACGGACGACGGCGACGACGACGACGACGGACGACGACGGACGACGACGACGACGAACGACGACGACGACGACGACGACGACGGACGATGACGACGACGACGACGACGACGGACGACGACGGACGACGACGACGACGACGACGGACAACGACGACGACGACGACGACAACGGACAACGACGGACGACGACGACGAAGATGACGACGACGACGACGGACGACGACGACGACGACGTCGACGGACGACGACGACGACGACGACGGCGACGGCGACGACGACGACGGACGACGACGGACGACGACGACGACGACGACGGACGACGAAAACGACAGACGACGACGACGACGACAGACGACGACGGCGACGACGACGACGACGCTGACGACGACGACGACGACGACGACGACGACGACGACACGACGACGACGACGAACGACGGACCATGGACGAGGACCATGGACGACGGACGACGGACGACGGACGACGGACGACGGACGACGGACGACGGACGACGGACGACGACGACGACGACGACGACGACGACGACGACGACGACGACGACGACGACGACGACGACGACGACGACGACGACGACGACGACGACGACGACCCCCTGGGGCTCCACGAGCTGCGCAACGGCGTCGAAGCAGCCGCTGTGGGCGGCGAGGTGCAGCGCGCTCTGCCCCCTGGGGCGCGGGGGAACGCCCACGCTGCTCGCTGGGCCAGGAGACACCACCGCCGTGCACACGCGCCCGCGCGCGTGCGTGCGCGCGAAGCAGCAGGAGGAGCGGCAGGAGGGGGGCAGAAAGGCGGAGGAGGAGGAGGAGGAGGAAGGGGAGGAGGAGGAGGAGGAGGAGGAGGAGGAGGAGGAGGAGGAGGAGGAGGAGGAGGAGGAGGAGGAGGAGGAGAAGGAAGGGGAGGAGGAGGAGGAGGAGGAGGAGGAGGAGGAGGAGGAGGAGGAGAGGGAGGAGGAGGAGGAGGAGGAGGAGGAGGAGGAGGAGGAGGAGGAGGAGGAGGAGGAGGAGGAGGAGGAGGCGGAGGCGGAGGCGGAGGCGGAGGGCGGAGGAGGAGAGGGAGGAGGAGGAACGAGGACAGAGGGAGGGGGAGGAACGAGGGAGGCAGGAGCAGGAGGGCGCCTCTTGTTCAGATGCAGCAGGTCTGCGTCGGCCTCCACGAGCGAGGAGGCCAGGCCCCGGCTGCTGGCGAAGAAGACGGGCGACTGCCCCACCTGCCCAGAGGCGGGGGAACAGGAAGACCCCGACATCCTTCTTCGGCGGCGACTGCCCCGCCGAAGCCCTGCGAATTATGGGAAACGCAGTTTTCCTCAAGCAACCGCACTCAATGAGCCACAGTTGCGTTTCCCAAAATTCTTAATTATGAGAAATGCAATCCTGGACGACTGCCCCGCACAGGGGAGTAGGGGTGGGTGGGGGGAAGGCGTCTTAGAAGGAGGCTGGCAGGCCTTGCCTACAGATGTAGGGCCGGCGCATTCTGAGAAGCAACCTCCTTCTGAGAAACCTTCCCCCCTCCCCCATACCGCCCCCCTTGTGTACGCCGCCACATCCTCCCGTCGTGAAAGAACCGCGACGTATTGTTTTTTGTGCCGTTGCTGCAAACTTCCGCTCCTGGAGGCCCCGGCTGCTGGCGAGGAAGACCGGCGAGTGCCCCACCTGGGCGACGGCACGAAACGGGCCCTACGCAAGGTGACATCGCGACCTTACGCGCTGACTTACGGCAGGCTCGTTCCGTAACGGCCCCAGCGTTGGCTTCTGACACCACGTGGATCCTTCAACTTTGAACGCTCGGCGGCTTTCCGATCGCCAGATCGTTCCATGTTGGCCGATTCTCGCCCGCTGGCGGCGCTCCACCTGGAGCGCCCGCGGCGGGGGCGCTGCTGCGTCGGCACGACACGAACCTGCCGCACGCGGGCCGCCAAGCGCGGCACGCCACATTGGACACGAGGGCGCGTGCGCGCGAAGATCCGGACAATCGAACCCGGCTTTGTGCGTCGCTAGCCTGCCCAGAGGCGAGGGAACAGGAAGACCCCGACGTTCTCGCCTCGCGGAAGAAAACAACGTCATGTCTTTCGTGCTGTTGCTGTAATGTTCTGCTTCGGGGGGGGGGCCCTTGCCGTGCCCTAGGACCTCCGAAGGTGAAAACCTGGTCTCAGGAAGGGTTCCTGGGAGGGGCTCCTAGGGAATCCTACGAATTTCCAGGGATCCTACCACTGGCCAGATTCCCGACAAGGATCCCGAAATAACTTTAAACATTCCTACGGATCCGACCGCTTCCCAATTTCCTGGGGGGGGGGCCTCCTAAGGAGTCCTAGGGATTTCCAGGGATCCTACCAACTCCCAGATTCCTGAGAGGGCCTCTGCAGGAATCCTAGGAATCCCCAAGGATCCTACCAATTGCCAGATGCCTGGGAGGGCCGCCTTGGCAATCCTACGCATTCCCAGGGATCCTACCATTGGTTCAGATGCCTGCGAGGGCCTCCTGCGGAATCACAAGAATTCCGAAGGATCCTACCAATTGCCAGACTCTCGAGCTGGTCTCGATCTCCCCGGGCCTGGAAGGGGGGAGGCTCGAGGCGCTAGAGCGTCCGAGATGCCCTAAGATGGCTCCAGGAGGGCCTCAGAGAGCCCACGATGGCCTCCCACTATGGCCCAAGGTACTTCAAGATGGCCCAAGATAGCCGCCAACATACTTCCACGAGGCCAAGATAGCGTCCGACATACCTCCAAGAGGCCCCGAAGTCTCCGAGGGGTCCACGAGACGATTCTTGGTGCTGTCGAATGGGCAAAGCCTCGCAGAAGCCCCGTAGAAGCCCCGTAGAAGCCTCGCAGAAGCTTGTCAGAAGCCTCTCAGAAGCCTCTCAGAAGCATCTCAGAAGCCTCGCAGAAGCCTCTCATAAGCCTCTCAGAGCCCCCTCAGAAGCCTCTCAGAAACCTCTCAGCAGCGTCGTAGGGGCCTCAGAGACACCCCTTCAATATGGGCGCGAAGCCTCTCAGAGATGCCTCTCAGAGAAGCCTCTCAGGCGCCTCGCAGAAGCCCCTCAGAAAAGCCTCTCTGAGGCTTCAGAGAAACCTCTGGGAGGCCTCAGAGAGGCCTCTGAAACAAAATGCCTCGCTGAGGGCTCTCGGAGGCCTCGAGAGTTCTGCAAAAGCTCTGCAGAAGCTCTTCAGACGCTCTGCAGAAGATGGTTAACTTTTAAGAAGCTCTTGAGACGCTCTTCAGACGTTCAGCAGAAGCTCTGCAGAAGCTCTGCAGGAGCTCTGCAACAGCTCTTCAGAAGCTCTTTAGAAACTCTGCGCGGCGGAAGCTCTTCAGTCGGAAGCTCTGCAGAAGCTCAACAGAAGCCCAGCAGAAGCTCAGCAGAAACTCTTCGGAAGCTCTCCAGAAGCTCTTGGATCGGTTGCAAAGCGGTGCTCTACACAAAGATTTGTACAGGAATCCTTCAGGTTGCGATCAGTCCGCTTCAAGTGGTTATAATCTGGCCGAAGTAATTTCTGAACCGCGCGAAGTGGTTGTAATCGGTCTTATTATCCTGGGGTCTTGGGCGGAGCACCTTATGTGGCCACGAAACGTGCGAGGGGTGCGCCGAAATGGAGGTGGAACTGCATGTGGACCCTGCCACTGGGGCCTTGGGTGGAGCTCCCTAGGGGGCCACGAAGCGTGTGAGGGGTGCGCCGAAATGGTGGTGGAACTGCATACGGACCCTCCCACTTGGGCCTTCGGTGGAACGCCCTATGGGGCCACCGACCACGTGAGTGGTGCGCCGAAATGGGAAAGCGAGAGAGCAGAGGCAGACAGGGAGGGGAGGGAGGAGGGGGAGGAGGAGGAGTGAGGAGGAACGCTGGGCGCTGTCGTTTCAAAACGATGACCAAACACCACAGGATGGTTGGGAAATAAAGAACCTGCTCGAAGTCGGAAGCTCGAACCTGGCCCTCCCCTTCCTGCGTGCCGGGGCCAATGCTGGGCAACCTCAGGCCCCCAGCCAGCTCCGACCCCCTGCGTGCGACTGCACTGAGGCCTTCCACTGCCCCTCTCGGGCTGCCTGCTCCCCCGCCCCTGTCCCCGCCGACACCTGCTCGAAGGGCCCAGAAACACATAATAAGAGGCACAAGTCCCAGAACTCCCAAAATTTGATATATCTTCCCGATGCTCGTCTTCCCCTCCACTCGGGGGCGGCCAAGAGGGGTGCGTCCAAGACGGGGAGGGAGCAAATCATGGCCGGCGGCATGTGCGCGGCCAAGGGGGGGGGCCAGGGACGTGACGAAATAAGAGGAGGCGCCATGAAATCTGGGGAGATATCATGGCCCCCACCATGCTATCCACTCCCCCTTGTCATCACCTCCCCCTTGGCCGCCCCCGATGCACTCCCCGTATCTTCCATCTTTTCCTAGGAGTCGACGATGATTTGTGCCCGTCTGTCTTTGTCCCTTCCTGACCCCCCCGCAAGGCCCCCGCCGGGCCCGAGGCGGAGGCGGGCGGGGCCTGGTCCGCCGCGTTGACGTTCGCGCGGTGCAGGAGCAGCAGCTGCGCCACCCGGGCGTCGTCCTCGAGGGGGTGGTGCTCTCCTCCTCCTCCTCCTCCTCCTCCTCCTCCTCCTCCTCCTCCTCCTCCTCCTCCTCCTCCTCCAGGCTCCGTCCCCTCGCGGGCCCCCCCCTGATTGCGGAGCCCCTCGGCAGGAGCGCCCGCCGCGATGGGGGCAGCCGCGCCCGCGGGGCCGCCAGGATGGCCAGGGTGCCCCCCCCGTCACTGAAGGGGCCCAAGGACACACAAATAAATACACACAAATAAAAATATTCCTTATATTTTCCAATATTTTCTGGGTTTCTGTCTTCCCCCCCACTGCCCATCTTTCCCCATATATTCTGGGGGATCGAGGATTCATTGTGTCTGTGCGTTTCTTTCCCTCCTGAGTCACGGGGGCTGGCGGGCACGCCCGGCGCTCCGGCTCGCGGCGCGGTGCAGCGGCGCCCAGGCGGGCAGGGCGAGGGCGGGCTCCAAGGCAGGCCCTCGTCGCGACCTGCAGCCCGCAGAGCCTGGTCTCGGTGGGCAGGCTCGAGGCTGCCTCGGAGGCGCTGAAGGACATCGGGATCGTCGGACCGAGCTACATCAGGAATGAAGATTCTGCAGCCGTGCTACAACATCCTGGCAGGCCGGTGCGCCTTCTAGCTCTGGATCGTGTGGACCGAGGCCAGAGTCAGCCTGGTTCGCGTGCAGAAGGAGCGGAGGACATCGGGATCGTCGGCCTCCCTGGCACGGCGGTCCGAGCATGGTGGGGAGAGCCTCATCACAGGGCGCTCGCACTCTTCAGCCGCGTGATCCACTTCGGATGGGCTCGGATGAGCTGCAAGTGCGCTGTTTTCCTGGCGAAGCGCTTCTTCCACGGCAGCAGCATCAGGAGGACTGTGCCCCCCCATGTGGGACTCCGCGGGCGCGGGGGTCTGGTGATCGTGGAATCTGGGCCCCTCCTCCTCGCACTACTTGTTCCCCACTACCCGCCACGACCATAGCGACATGGCGAGGCAAAGCTTTGGAAAGCTACATGCAGGCACCTCACCTCGTGGGCTCGGGAAGCTCTCAATCAGGTGCCTCAAGGTTACGCTCCTGTTATTTTTACAGGCTTACGTTCTGGACTGAAGCGTTATCACAGTGAGGGCAATGCTGTGGGAGAATTTAGCAGTGAATGTGAGACCTTCTGTAGCTAGCGTGTTCACGCACTATCTGGTCAGATGCGTATGAGTGCCGTGAACACGCACTGGAATACTGGGAATTCCTGCTTCGGAATGCAAGGCGCTGCATCACATATGGACTTTGTTTACCTACCGCAGTCCGTACAAGGATTGGTTCGTTGGACAACTACTTGGAAGCGGACTGCAGATGCGGTGCGGGCCATGCACAACATTCTCAACCATGTGCCTGTCGTCATGAAGTTCCTGTCGGTCGCCCCTGTGAATACTCGCCCGCTTCGTGAGCGCTGGGGCCGCCATGCTAGCGCTGTTCTCCATGGGGCTGGGCGGGGGAAATTCTGAGCGGATATCCATGGAGCGCTGCTTCGGATCGATGGACATGCTTCTTTGACGATGGCGACGATAAGGCAGATTGCACTCAAACATTCCTCACTGCAGAAAAATGTGGCCAGAGTCTGAGATGAAGCTGGAGGCCACAAGGTGGGAGTACACACTGAAACGAAGACGCGCTCTGCTGGAACAGGTGTCGGCTTCCGCCCTGGCCTGGCCAGGCTGGCCCAGGACGCGTGCCAGGCCCCCTGGTCCCAAGGTGGCCACTGGCGTCTCAAGTTCTCCGTGGCTGCTGAAGCCCAAACCCCGATACTTCTTTGCTCCTCGCGCGGGGGGTGCGCAACGGCCTCTGCGGGTTCCAGGGGCCTGAGGAACGTGTGCCCTGGGTCCCCAGCGAGTCTCCTGGACCCTGGCCGAAAGAACACTCGTGGCGCCCTGTGCAGTCTCAAGAAGCATCCGAATCGAGCCTTAAAGCTGGGCCCCTGGAGGACCCCAGGTGTGCGGGCTCGGGAGGCGTTTGGCTGTTCGGGGGGAGTCCCAGGGGCCCAGCCGAAGGAGCTTAGAAGTGCCAATGTTCCGCCTGGCGTCTCCAACCTCTGCTCGGCCGACTGCCTCCAGGCGTTCGGCCTCAATGAGGAGGAGGCCAGAGAGCTCGGAGCCAGGTAAACAAGGCCAACCATCCGACGAGTTTGATGAGGATGATATGATGATGCTGATGATGATGATGATGGTGGTGATGATGCTGCTGATGATGATGATGGTGATGATGATGATGATGATGATGATGATGGTGGTGATGATGATGATGCTGATGATGATGGTGATGATGATGATGGTGATGAGGATGATTGTGATGATGATGCTGATGACGATGATGGTGATGGTGATGATGATGATGATGGTGATGATGATGATGATGATGATGGTGATGATGATGGTGATGGTCAAGCCGTTTCTCCCCAGGGGGGGGGCCTGTCGCTGGCCCCCGGCCTGTCGGTGGCCCCTGGCCTGTCTTTGGCCTTTCCTGCCACGGTGGCGAAAAGGTCCTCCCAGATGGGCCCCCCATGGGGTTTTCTGCTGACTGTCGGACTCCCTCTCTTCCTCTCTCTCCCTCTCTCTCTCTCTCTTCCTCTCTCGTTCTCTCTTTCTCTCTCTTTCTCTCTCTTTCTCTCTCTTTCTCTCTCTCTTTCTCTCTCTCTCTCTCTTTCTCACCTCGGTGGCGTGCGATCCTTCCTCATTCCTGCATGTTCCCTGCCCCCTCCCTCGTGGCTCCTCGTTCCTCCCTCCTCTCTCTTTCCCCTGCTGCTGCTTCCGATGCTGCTGCTGTTGCTGCTGCTGCTGCTCCTCGTCGTCGTCGTCGTCGTCCTGCTTCTGGCGCCCAAGCATCTGTAGAAAAACAGACGCATGCCATGAACATGAACTTTCGGAGGTCCACGCGGATTTCATGGGTCGGCGCTGGACCCACCTCCCCAGCGCGCGAAGCGCGAATGGGGTGGCGCTGGGGGCGCCGCCGGGGAAGAGGGGGATGAGCGTCGACTCAAGAGATGTGCGCGGACCGCAGAAGACGTTTCTTCAGTGCTTTGCTTTTCTAAAAATGCCATGGCCACGTCGTGTGCTTCTCGCAACGGGGAAATCGCAATGTCGGGGTGCCTTCCCGGGAACTGGCTTTTCATCCTGAAACCTTCCATCTTGTTTTTGTTGGTTACGACGCGAGAGCGGTCGGGAACTTTTGGATAGTGTGTTGCTACGGCGGCCACAACGACACGCAATGCCTTGCGAATGGTTAGCGTGTCGGTCTGCAGGGCGGGAAGATCTGAAAGGCTCGGGGCGTTGACGCCTCAGGATTCCGAGGTAGTTAGCCTCGGGACTCTGAAGTGGTTAGCATGCATTCCAACGACCGGCGGGCCAGAACCAGCGGAGCGCGACACGCTATCAAACAATTATGGCCGTATGTCACATCAGGGCATCGGGTGCCAAGGACACGCGCATCCCAGGGCCCCGGTGTGGGTGGTCACGAGGGGGGGGGGTCCTGGAAGACGGCGGTGTGCAGCGGCGAGACCAGCTTCGCGTCCTGCTGGTTGACGTCCGCCTGCTTGGGCGAGACTGCCTCCTCGTCGTCCTCCTTCGGCTCGCCCTCATCCTCCTGCTCACCCTTCCCCTCCCCCTCCTCCTCCTCCTCCTCCTCCTCCCCCTCCTGCTCCTCCTCCGCCTCCTCCTGCTGCTCCTCCTCCCCCTCCTCCTGCCTCCTCCTCCTCCTCCTGCTCCTCCTGCTCCTCCTCCTCCTCTCCTCCTCCTCCCCCCTCCCCTCCCCCTTCCCCTCCCCCTCCCCTCCTCCTTTCCTCCTCCTCCCTCTTCCTCCTCCTCCTCTTCCTACTCCTCCTCCTCTTCCTCCTCCTCCTCCTCCTCCTCCTCCCTCTCCTCCCCACTCATCTCTCCGCTCCCCTCCCTACTCATGCCCATGACACCTCTACTCTCCTCCTTCTGAGCCTCCTCCTCCTCCTCCTCCTCATTTCCTCCTCCTCCTCCTCGTCCTCCTCCTGTGGTCTGTGGCCCGTGGTCCGTCACATCAAGGATGGGGCCCACAGATCCCTCAAGGGCCAGAGCGAAAGCGGTGACTTCGGTCTTGGGGACGGTCTGACTGCGGCCGACAAGGCCCGCCGAATCCCCTCCAGGATCTTCGAAGGCGTCACCCAGCTGATGAGTAGCACATGCTCCTGCGCCACAGCGACGGCGACGAGGGTCGAGGACAAATGCCCCCTCGAGCCGTCGCCGAAGATAACTGTGACTGCACCAGCAAAACAGCAATCAATGAGCGAATTTTCGGGCACGGAAAAAAAGCAAAGTACCCTGCTCAGCTCGGACGGGGCTATGCCTGTAAGCCACGTACCAAGAAGAGGCCTCAACATCCGCCAACGCCTGAGGGACCAGACAGCCGCTCTTGACGTAGTCATCAAGACCGAAATTGGCCTCGCAGAGCCACGTCGGATGCATGAGGGTCTCGGGGCACTTCTTGCACGGCTGGCACAACAAGTCCTCAAGAGAGCCCACAGGATACCGTCTAGCACGGGATCACTGGGCCCCGCCCACCACAGCCATCGTGAAGCCATGCTTGCTGAAAAGACCGTCTTTAGTGAACCACTTCAGCTCGAGACGAACCAACAAAAAGTTCGCCCCCTCCTTTCAAATCAGAGATCGCTCTGTGCTGAGGAGTAGCTTCCTGCAGCTGCGCTCTGAGGTCGCAACACAAATCGCCCAAAAGCTCAGACACCTCGAAATCGCTGGGATCAAAGCCTGGCTTGGCCTTACCCGCGCGCTTTGGGAGACGAAGCGATGGACTCCAGGCCCTGTGGGTCCTGACGTGTAAGTGGGGACGCCTGTGCCGACAAACCAAACAAAAGCCTGAAATCAGCTGCCTGCGAGGCTCGACCTCGAGGCTCTTGAGACCAAACTCTGCAGTCAAAGCCGCGGTGCAGCAGGCCATGCGCCGCTGCAGCGGCTTACCTGCGCTGGCCAATAACGCTGCTGGGCGCGCGCCCTTGCACCTGGTGAGCTGACGGGCCTCGGGGAAAGGCCCCCATGATCCCGAGCCCCTGGGAAGCCTTCTTGAAGGAAGCAGTCCTCCATATTCGGAAAATGTGCGTGCGCGGCTCTCCGACCGGTCGCTTTCGTCCTAGACCTGGACTTGGCCGCCGGACGGAACCTGCCAGAGCTGCCATCAGCGCCCAAATCAACGTCCGTTCTGGCAATGCTGGCGGGCAAACCGCAATCCTGTGACAAGGCATAAACGCGGGCTTTCCAAGCTTAAGGAAGGAGGATACGAACACAGTTTTGCCTGGGGCAATCAAGCGCCCTGTGGGAACTTCATCGCCGAGAGCAACCGAGGAATGCGCCAGGAATGCGCCATGCCTGCCTCACTTGCCGCCCGGCGCCTTCAACGCACAGCACCACCTCATCGACAAAGGTTCACGTGGGGCGCCGTGGGGGCTTTGTTCCGCGCGGCTTCCAAAAGCGGGTGAAGAAACAGTTTAGCAGATCTGACTCTGCCGGGGGAACTAGCAACCAAAGAACGGGTGGGCCAAACAGCGTCCGAACACCCCTGCTGCCCGCGCAGCCTGCGAGGGGCAGCGCAAAGCTGAACGTCCAAACTCAGCCACTGAGAAGTGAGGCCACACCTCATTCTCGACCAAATTTGGGGGGTTCTGGGCAAATGGAGGCTCGGGTGACAGGGCGGTGACCGAATACAGAAGCTGGGCAGGCCAGACATTCCTGTCCTCGGCCGCCCTGAGAAGTTCCAGAAATTCCGAAGCGCCTTCTGGGGGGGGGGGGCCTCTGAAGATCCATGGTGGTGATCCCGCCAACCCCTCCGGCCTTGCCAGGCAGGGACTCTATGGCCGCGCCGAGGCGCTCCGAAGTCAACTCCTGCGTGCCCTGAGAACTGGCCGCCCTACCCAACTCAGCGATGATATATATATATATACATATATATATATATACAGTACATATATATCACTCGTACCCTGAAGAGTCCAGACGGGGTCACCAGACAGACCTAGAAGGGCGCTCGAGAGTGCTCTACAAGGATCTGTGCAGCTCGCCGTAAATTGTAATGATGCCTCCCGAGAGCCTCCTCACTGTCGAGGGGGCCAGGATCAGGGGCGGTGCGCACAATATTATATATATATATATATGAAAGGCCCGCACAATTCTCTCATATACAGTACACATATATATATATATATGTATATATATATACAGATATAGACAACGCCCTGGTGCGAGTCGACTGGGCCAGCCCGAAGGTCAGCCCGGACCTTCTCCCGGCCCTCCTGCTGCAAGAAGAGGGGGGGCCGCCGACCCTCGCGCCGCCCGCGCGGCCTTCTCAGCGGAGCTCGCGCGGGGGGTCGCGGACTCGCGACGATGCAGGCTCCCCCTCCTCCTCCTCCCCCTCCTCCTCCTCCTCCTCCTCCTCCTCCTCCTCCTCCTCCTCCTCCTCCTCCTCCCCCTCCTCCTCCCCCTCCTCCCCCTCCTCCCCCTCCTCTTCTTCTTCAGCTGCTCCAGGGCCCACTCAGCCTGGGCCTCTCCGCGGCTGGCGAGGGCCCTGCCCCGCGCGCGTCCAGCGAGCGTCGTGGTCGAGAGCAGGACACCAAGCACCCCGTCATCGGAATCGGCCCAAAGTCCTCGCCCCCACTCGAGCCATCGAAGCCGGAGTTCGCTCTCGCCCTTTCCAGAGTACTCGCCAGCAGCCCAAACCGTCGCCTCCCGAGTACAACCCAAGACCTCAGAGCGAGCCTCCTGCCTGGAATCCTTGCCGCTGTTCCTGGGGCGGAGCCATCTCATCGAGAGCGCGTGGAATGTACCCCGCCACTCCGCCGACCCACCCGTCGCGCGGAATCTGCCGGGCGTCGACTTGGACCTCTGCCCAGAGACGGCGCGCCCGGCCCCAGGCCGCGAGCTCAAGCTTGGAGACCCACTTGGCACAAAGGCAAGATGCGCCCACGCATCCACAGGGGTTGGAGGTCAGGAGCAGATGGCTGCACTTGGCCTCCAGACACTCCTGGGGGAGCATGGGAAACCCGCCGCGCTGCAACTGAACTCCTCCCGAAACTCATGAGAACAACAAAGTCAACCGCGGAGGCGCCGGAAGAAACCTCAGTCTCGCCAGCATGCGCGAGATCAAACACCCCCCGAAGATCATCCGAACGCCTCTCCCTGCGACTGGCCAGAGCCGGGGCTCGCTGCTTAGATCGCTTGATGTTTGGATCGGCTCGTTTCTTGTGCCTGCCTGGACGAGGGGGGAAGTCGACAACGAAGAGCTTTTTGTGCCGGCTCACTTCCGCCGCCCCATGTGTCTTTAAGCTTGCAGAAAAAACCTGACGCCCAGATGCACTAGCATATTCCGACTTGGCAACGACATTATCGACACAAACACTGTCGACGGCGGCTTTTGCCGCAAATGGCGTCGAAAGCGTCGGGCAACACGACGCAGCGCCCCATCCTGCAGGGCCATCGCGAATTGACAAGGTTCGTCGGGGATGGTTCCGACCCCCCAGTGTGACCCTGGGATCGGTTAAGGCTTTGACAACAGCGCTGACCGCCACTCAGCCAGAACGGTCGAACCCAGACGTTCAAGAGACTGGAAGGAAGCACAAACCAATGACCAATGACCAAAACGTTCCCAGACGACAGACGCCACGAGAGCGCTGGAAAGCTTCGGAAAGGGGTCCGTCTGACGATTCGCGACAGCAGCATGGCGTGCGCCGCCGCAGGAGGTCGTCGAGAGATGCCTCCCAGGCAGTCCCCCACTCTCCTCCCGACGACCCGCCCCTCCCCGCGGCATGGCGGTGACGCGCTGGAACTGCCCAGCCGTCGCGATCTAGACTGCGCTCCACGCCGCCCGCGAAGACGTCGGCAGTGGCACGGGTCGCAATGGATGCTGCCACCTGAAGCCCGCAAGAGCTTAGAACACTGGAAGCCGCTGGGCCCCGCTGCGTGATGCTGCCGCACATGAACGCGGCGCTCGAGCCGCCGTCCTCACACTTGCCCGCCAGCTCTGACCGCGAATCCCGGGCTCCGTTGACCGCCTTGGTGGCCTCGGTCTCCAGCTCGGCCCGATCGTCCAAGATTGGGGAAGACGGGCGCGCGCGCGCTGAGAAATCATGTCCGACCTGGTCGGAGGGGTCGAACTCTTCGCCCATGGTGCTGCGAGGAACGGCGCCCGGCCCGCAGGCATCTCCATCGCTGCCTCTCTCGCCGCTTCCCTCGACGCGTCCATGTGCCCCCCTGCGACGGGGCCTCCTGAGATCGAGGGGCCCCGATACCGCCAAGTGATTCCATCGGTGAGACTGTCTGGGGTCGCACGGGGTCGCGTGCCTCGGCCTCTCCATCGCGCTCTGGCCCGCCGATTCTACCAGGTGTTCCCCGCAGCGGCGGCCCCTGGGATTGGCGCAGCAGCGCGTCCACGTCGCCGGGGCCACCCGATCCACCATCGTAAGTAACTGAATCGGCGATTCCACCCAAGCTGCTGGACATGCTGAACTGGAAATAACCACCCGTTCTGGAAATACCGCGAACCATCTCCAAGCTGCCCGGCTCGACGCAAGCATTGCCCGCCGACCCGCCAGGCGCCCTGGCAAAATTGAAGGTGGACTCCACACATAGCACGCCAGCGGAGGCTTCGCCCACATGCCTTGAGGCTGCTCCGCTGGAGCCCGCAGTCCCTCCCCAAGGCAGGAGAGCCCATAATCGAGTCGATAAGTGGGACCGGCGATCGAAGTTCATAGAATCGGCGGGAATCGGCAGAGTTGTACAGTCGGATTTGACTGGGCGGGATGACGCAAGACCCTCCGAGGGCCACACCGCCATAGGAGTGTAAGAGTGCACGTGTCGCGAGGCACGGGACACAAGGGTACCCTTGAGCTGGCAGGGTCGACCTACCAATCCGGGCCGACTGTAAGGCCGCCGTTGAGACATCGGAATCCAGCTGGGAATCCGAGACCCTAAACCCTAAACCCTAAACCCTAAACCCGAAACCCGAAACCCGAAATCGCACCGACTCGGATCGGGAGAGAATCGAGACGGGCCCTGCTTGCGGGTGCTCCGCTGCTCGAGCCCGCAGGGTCTCTCCCCCAGGGCGGGGAGCTGCGCGCAGGGGCGCGCCGGCCGCCCCTCCGACAAGGGAGGGGGGCTCTGCGCGGCTCGGATGGTGCCGCGGAGGCACCGGCCACCACCCTCGAGGCAGCTCCCGTGGGGCCGAGGTCGGAAGCTTCGAGCCGCCCCCCCCCCCAAGAGGGGCCCCATGCTCGCCTTGCCTCACAGGGCTGGATCCGGACGGCGTTTTTTTTGCGATGTCGTGGGCCGTTTTCGTTTCGACTTCGATTTGCGGTGCAGGCGGGCTGAAGACGAAACGAGGGACAACGAAAACAAAACGAAGACGAAAAACGCCGTTCAAGTTCAGCCCTGTGTACTCACCCGCGACTGCGCCAGGCCAGGCCGCGGGTGCCCTGGGCCCGCGAGGGCCAGCTGGCGCGGGGGCATCGGCCGCTCTCTCCAGCGAGGCTCCGCGCGCGGCCACGCGGAGCTGCTCGCCCGCTGCGGCGCGGGGAGCTCGGGGAACCTCCGCCCAGGCTGGAAAATGCCGCGCTCCATCTCCGCAGCGCTAGACTCGACAGGGCTGCCAAGTGCCTGAGCGGCCGCCACTGGCGCCCATGGTCGCTGAACGGAACATTTGGCGCAAGACGCGCCTCGCAAGAGGGAGCGCCCTCCAGGAAGGAGCGCCACCCGGACAGGCTCAACAGCTGCTGGGCAGGATTATTCGCGCAGCCTGACGGGGCGGCCGGTCCTGCTGAAACAGCCTGCTGAACCATGCCCGCGCCTGACCTTGGCGCCCCAATGCCCCGTCGGTGCCCCGTCGATGTCCCGTCGGTATCCCGTCGGTGTCCCGTCGGTGTCCCGTCGTGAAACCGATAGTGAGATCGATAGTGAGATCAATCGTGAGACCGATGGTGTGACCAATAGTGAGATGGATAGTGAGACCGGTAGTGAGATGAACAGTTAGATCGACAGTGAGATCGAGGAGGGGACCGATAGCGAGATCGATAATGAGATCGATGGTACGATCGATCGTACCATCGATAGTATGAATGATACTGAGATCGATCGTGAGGTCGATTGAATGAGAAATTGGTTCCTCCCCCGAACCTCTTTATCACCCGAAGGATCGCCGTATATGCCCATACTATGAAAACGCTGAAGCGACCCAGGCATTTTTATACGGTCTGGTGCTAGAGGAGGAGGAGGAGGAGTAGGATGAGGAGAGCAACGGTGCTGTCGGCCATCTCTGGGCCTCCAGGGCTGTCCTCGTCGTCAGGGCGGGATCGGCCCCACGATTCCTGGCCGGGACGTGCTTTGGGGCACATGCCTGTGTTTTTTTCCCTGTGTGTGTTTTTGTATGCTTTTCGGTGTGTGTGTTTTGTGTGTGTGTGGGTGTGTGTGGGTGTGTGTGTGTGTGTGTTTGTGTTTTTTGTGTGTTTTGTTGTGTTGTGTTTCTTGTTGTGTTGTTGTGTTGTTTTGTGTTGTTTTTTTTTGTGTTTTTCTCCCACAGCTGGTTTCTGACCTGGAGCGTGCCCACAGGAGCGAGGCCGCGAGGAGGGGGGCGAGGAAGGAGCATGTCCCGGCGACTCCCGGACGCCGGGTGCGCCGAAGAGGGGGCCCAGGAAGAGGGTAGCATTAGGTCGGGCCTGTCCCCCTACAGGCCGATTTTGGAGGAAAAATTAAGAATATCCCAAGAACTCACTAAAAATGCTCAGAGATGGTAAGAAAATAGTCCCCAGACTATTTTTCCCCTATCTTTGAACATTCCCCCTGTAGAGGGGCAGGCCCGACGTAAGGGCAGCAGCGGCGTCGTGGCCCGAGGCACGTGCGCGGCCCAGGGGACGTGTCCAGAGACGCAGGGGCCGCGGCCTCTGGGAGAGCCCAGGCCCTGCCGCGCCATGACATATCCTTCCCCCCCCCCCCCCCCCCCGGGGACACTCCCTGCTCCAGCCAGACAAGGACCAGGGTTAAGTCGGGCCTGTCCCCCCACAGGGGGATTTCCGACGAAAAATAAGAAGTACCCCCCAAAAAATCAAAAAATAATCCCAAAATAGTCTGGGGACTATTTTTTGAACATTTTATGATCTTCTTGGAGTATTTTGGGGGTATTTTGTATTTTTCGTCGAAAATCCCCCTGTAGGGGGGCGTGTCTGGTTGAGTGGTTGCCTGTTCGTGGGGTGTCTCGTGGAATGTTTCAAAGGGTGTCTCGTGGAATGTTTCGTGAGGTGTCTCGTGGAATGTTTCGTGAGGTGTCTCGTGGGATGTTTCGCGGGGTGGCACGACCACGCCCCAGCACGACCACCCCCAGCACGACCACCCCCCCAGCACGACCACCCCCCAGCACGACCACCCCCCAGCACGACCACACCCCAGCACGACCACTCCCCAGCACGACCACACCCCAGCACGACCACACCCCAGCACGACCACACCCAGTCGCACCCCCGTGGAATGTTTCGTGGCGTGTCTGGTTGAGTGGTTGCCTGTTCGTGGGGTGTCTCGTGGAATGTTTCAAAGGGTGTCTCGTGGAATGTTTCGTGAGGTGTCTCGTGGAATGTTTCGTGAGGTGTCTCGTGGGATGTTTCGCGGGGTGTCTCGTGGGATGTTTCGTGAGGTGTCGCCCAGTTGGGTATCGTGAAAACGTGACCATGCTGCACATGTCTTTATCCCTTTCCGGGTTCGTGGGTCCATCATGTTCGTCGAAAATCCCCCTGTAGGGGGACACGCCCGACATAAGACCAGGGCAGCGGCGCCGCCCTGCGATGCACCACCACACGGCCCGGAGCTCTCTGCTCGGCGTGTCGCGGCGGCGGCCCCTGCGACGCGCCGTGTCCCTGGCGAGCTTGGCAGCGTGCCGCCACGCTCCGCGGGGCGGGAGGCCGGGGAGAGCGCTCGGGACCTTGACGCAGCACGTCGCGCCGAAGCGTGGTCGGCCAGCACCGGCGGCGCGGCATGCCAACCCGACCGCAGCGCACGCCCCCTGCTTTGGCCGTTGCTTCATGGAGGTGCGTTAGGGGGGGGGAGGAGGAGGAGGAGGAGGAGGAGGAGGAGGAGGAGGAGGGAGGAGGAGGAGGAGGAGGAGGAGGAGGAGAGGAGGAGGAGGAGGAAGGAGGAGGAGGAGGAGAAGGAGGAGAGAGGAGGAGGAGGAGGAGGAGGAGGAGGAGGAGAGAGGAGGAGGAGGAGGAGGAGGAGGAGGAGGAGGAGGAGGAGGAGGAGGAGGAGGCGGTGGGCCCTCAGGGCACCAGAGGTGCACCTTCCTTCACCCCCCATCTGTCGCCCCGTGACACGACGCCCGACTGCTCCAACCCAGCAGTGGTCCGCCCGAGCAGTGCCGCCCTGCGGTGCACCCTCGCAGAGCACACGGGCGAGCGCAGCGACAAACGATACCAGAACGCCTCCGGCCGCACGGTGGCGCCCCCCGACCAGGGGTTTACACCCAGGACCTCCAGCGGCTCGAGGCAGAAGCGAGGGGAAGCGATATAGAGAGAGAGACATCGATTCTGGCTAGGCCCATCCTGAGCCCAGGATCGGTGCATACGCCTTCGCCCGACGATCGGGGGGGGGCTCCAGGGGGGGAGCATCGACCAAACATCGATGATGCATCGCCGGCGTATGTCCGGGAGAGCGGGTTCGCACGCCACTGGGCGAGGTGGGCTATCGGACGGACCTCTACCTGCGATGACTGGGCGATTGTGGGTCGATGCGTCCGCTCTTGAGCCCATCCCCCCTAACGTTGCCCCTGACGATGTTCCTCCTGTCTGGGCCTCAGAGTCGCGGGCTTCTGGCCCCACAAAACAAGCCTACAGGATGAAACGCCAGCCCTGGGTAGGGGGTCGAGAAGTCGAGGGGCCCACGTCTCAAAAATCGGACCGTCGGGCGTTTGGGCACGGGTGCTGCATTTCAACGGTGAGATAAGGAGCCTTGCGCTTGAGCAACTTCCGCGTCAAATCGACGCTGGAATGCTTCACTGCCAACTGCAGCGGAAAGGTGCCGTTCTCGGACCGGCGGTTGGGGTCTGCCTGCATGGCGGCGGTATCACTGTGTATGGGCGCAAGAAAACCGATGCGTAATGGTACCATAGAGCTGATGTTGACGCGAGCGGATCAAGCAAGGGCAAGAAAGAGCGAATCAGGAAGTCAATAAAGCCACCGGCCTAGCGGTGCCAGTAGAGCCTCTGGTATGTGGTAGTAGTGCCACCACGTCGCTAGGTGCATCTAAAGCAGAAGCGAAACGACCAGCGACATGCTTCGATGTGCGCGCGTGATTTTGTGGTGTGCTTGCGAATACGTGTGCACGAACGTAAGCTGTGTGGCACGAAACCGCTTTGTCTTAGAACCGCTTCGCCCCGAATCGCTTCGCCGGGGACCGCCTCGCCCCGAGCCGCCTCGCAGGCGAGACGCGCTCGCCGCGGAACGCCTCGCAACCAAACCGAGGAAGAGGATCATGAGGGTGACGAGGAGGAGAATGCTTCCCGCAGCGAGGTGGGGGTGAGGAAAACGATGACGAGGGTGCTTAGCGAGAAGGACGATAACAAGGAGGACAGCGAGGAGGATGCTTCGCGAGGTGGGGAGGAGGAGTCGATGGTACAGTAAGGTGATGCAAGGAAGGGAGAGAGTGGTGCGGCGTCAAATTGCGCAGCGCCCAGAGACAGCCTGGCCACCATCTAGGATCTAGGGTAATCGCTGCCTTCGTGTGCTTGTGAAGATAGGGGACACTTGACAAAATGAAGCAAACTCATGCGACCGTTGCTACTAAGGTGAAGTTATACAATACGGTGGATCAAGGGCTGGGAACAGAAGCTATGCATGAACATGGCGAACAGGTATGAAAAGGGTGCGGCGATGTGCTCTTGTGGGTGCCGGAGCGCAAGGGCGCGAGACGCGCAGCGAGTCTGCCTGGGCGTCGAGGAGCAGGTCCACCTTCTCGAAGTCGCCTATCTGCACCGCCTCCTCGATCACCAGGCAGAGCAGAGTACGCCGCTCGCCAGTGTCCTGTCTGTTTCCCGCTCGCGATCAACGATGAGGGGTGTGCCCCCAATGCTCCTCGTGAGGTGCCAGCCGGGGGCAAAGCCCGGGTCTACATGGTGCCCCGGGCAGGGAGGCCCGAATACTGGACGGCTGCTCCCTGCATGCACATAAGAATGGTATCGGGTATCCTGCAGACGCCCAGTTTCCACTGGCCGTGAAGGTGCTGCCTGACTGCTGTTCCCGGAAAGGGCGTAGGCCCAGGGTTCTCGTTTAGGATGGTAATCTGTCCCCGGTGCCTCAACTGAGGTGGGCCGGCGGATTCTTTCCCTGATAAATATCGAGGTCGAGGTGGGCCGGCGGATTAAAATTTGAGGATGTCTCAGGCGAAACGCTTGTTTTTGAAATCCCGATCGATAAATCACAGGGTGCGGGCCACTCTTTCGTGTGTTGAGGATGTCTCGAGCGAAACGCTTGCTCCGCACAGTTACCGAGGATGTCTCGAGCGAATCGCTTGTTTTGTAGAACTTGAGGGATCTGGGCGCCCCAGAGATTTGCCTTCTCCAGGTGCACGAACCCGTGTGTTTTTACGTGTGTGCCTGTAGATTTGCCCTCTCCAGGTGCACGAATCCATGTGCTTTTACGTCTGTGCGTATAGATTTGATCTCTCCAGGGGTGACCACGCCCCAGCACGACCACGCCCCAGCACGACCACCCCCCAGCACGACTACCCCCCCAGCACGACCACCCCCCAGCACGACCACCCCCCAGCACGACCACACCCTAGCACGACCACTCCCCAGCACGACCACACCGCCTTGGTTGAGTGGTTGCCTGTCGTCGTGGAATGTTTCGTGGGGTGTCTCGTGGACTGTTTCGCGGGGTGTCTCGTGGAATGTTTCCAGGAAAACCTTGAAAACGGTCGCCCGTGTCTCGTGGAATGTTTCGCGGGGTGTCTCGTGGAAGTGCCCGTCGCCCAATACGGTGTCGTGAAAACGTTTCCATGCATGCGGTTCTATATCCATTTCCGGATACGTGGGCCCATCATGTTTTTGCTACTGTCTCTTTTGTCGTACCTCTTCTGTCCTGTCTCCTGAGTCCTTTGTGCTGCTCAATTTATGGGGGCCCACGTCGCCAAAATAGCGTTCCCGACTGAGCTCTTGGGTCGTCGTGGGGCCCTCTTGGGCTGTCTTGAGGCCCTCTTGGGACATCTGAGGTTCCTCGATGCCTTCTTCGGGGTCTCTTGTGTCCTCCTGGAGATTTCTTGGCGCCCTCTTGGGCCGTCCTGGGGCCCTCTTGGGCCGCTTTGGAACCTCTAGGGCGATCTTGATGACAGCTGGGGATCACCGCGGGGTCATTTTGGGCTGTGGGACCATGGACACTCATTTTTAGTTTGGGGGGGCTTCAGACGCCGACTCATTGATAACCCGCGTAATCAATTGTATCTGATGGAAACCAATAGCCAGCATGCGCAAATCATGAGAACCGGTCGTGGACACGCCTCGAAAGCACATAGAATCTAGGAAGACCTCTCTTTTCATCGCTGCTTTGATCGTGCACGAGACGAATAACAACAATGCTCTATCGGTCCCCGCGTATGCTGCTCCGCCCCCATCCCCGTGTCTTCCTCCACACCACCCGTGTAGCCTCCCTTAACAGCTTGCTGGACTGGTAGATATCGAACAGACTGCATTCCCGCTCAGAGCACTGTGCCTCATGAGATGCATTACCGCCTGCTCTATTCAATTCGGAGGATGGTCGACTTGATTGTTGTCACCCACGCGGCCGAATCAAGAAGTACCACTTCAACAAATCCACGCGTCAAGCCCTTGCAGAGGACTGGTTCCGCGCATCTGAAATATTCTGGAAACACCTGGCAATGTCTCCATCATCCCCAATACAGATGACAGTACATGCATCTCCAGGTATGACATTGGATAGCTGCACATGCTGAAAAGAGCGCGACCTTGCGCAATGGAACTGGCCTATCGTGTCTGTGTTGGCCATCCGCACGCGATGACACACAGATCCCCATATTTTGTTCGGCCTGGATGCTGGGGATAGCACTAGGACCAACGGGGAGGGTCAGAAGGATGCAACTCGCAAGCTCGAGGGTTTTTCCATTCTGACTCTGGCAGCCCCGATGCAAGATAGTAATCCAAAGTTTCCGTCCAGTTCTCTGCAGGCAGCATGCTCGTTAATCTCTCAAAGTTTCTGCACACATGTTCCCGAGGCAATGGTGCGATTCGTACGATGACTAAGCAAGAATTCGCGCATTTAACAAGCTGAGCTGCGTTGGCGCCACCTTCCGACGCTGGGATATCACAGAAGTCATGCGGACCGGCCACAAAGCAAAGTATATCGGCGTCTTGATCCTTAGCCAACCGTGCATCCAACGTAATATCACTGTCGAAGAACGCAGCATCCGACTCCGTCCACACGGCCACAATGCGATCATCGTCAAATGCTGCTTAACCACCACGGAACTTCAACAATGCATGATCACTTGTCTGCTCAGGAAGACGTGATGTTCGAAACTCTACAACATGCAAAATCTTTGGTGAACAAATCCTCCATGCTTGGGCGCTGGAGCCGAACAACTGTCAACATCTGTCATTTGATATGAAGGCTTCTCCATACGATACATGGAGTATGCAGGTTTCCTTCTGCTCCTTCTCCAGAGTACCCAGAGCAGAGGCTGCAACAAGTACAGAAACCGAGGCCAACTTCCGCGCTGATGCTGGATTGTAATAGCGTCTGTTCCACACATGGATGATGGCAGTGGCGATTGTAAGACCACCTGCAATACTGATCGGCCCACGAAGCTGAACATCTGTTTTGCATGCAGATGTTCGGGAGCTCCTTCAAATTGTCCTCCTCCTCCTCCTCCTCCTCCTCAGAGAAGCCTTCTGGGCATCTCGGGCCGTCTGGGGACCATCTTGCACGACCAGACAGGGGGCGGCGATAGGTGGTCGGGGTCCCCCTGGTCTGGGGGGGTGCCCAGTCACTTGCATTCGGGGGCAACGGCCCAGTGGCCCCGTAGCTCCGGTTCCCCCCTTATGGGTGTATGACACATGCACACATGCTGAATCCGCCGAGCCGTCGGCGTATGTGAGACGCTCTTCCGTTTAAGCCGTCGTCGTCGCCTTACCGTCGTCGTCGTCGTCGTCGTCGTCGTCGTCGTCGTCGTCGTCGTCGTCGTCGTCGCCGTCGTCGTCGTCGTCGTCAGTTCCAATGAAACTAAGGAACAGGGGAATTGAAGAACGTCGCAGTTAAGTCGCAGGGAAGCCCCTTCCCTTTGATCCCTTCCCTGCGGGGGGGGGGGTCCCGGGTGGGAGGGGGGGGTCCCAGGTCAAAACACCATCCCACCTGGGGGTTCCGGAGCCACAGAAAGCCCCGAGACAGACCAAGAGAGACCAAGAGGCAACTAAGACGATCCAAGAGGGCCCAGCCCAGAATCGCCGAACGATCGGTCCAAGACGCGCTATATAGCCTCCAGATAATCCAAGAGGCCTCCAAGACACCCCAAGAGGCTTCCAAGAGCCCTTCGATGGCCCCACGCGACAAACTTCTATGATGACAGAGTTTGGCGTTCTTGTCTTTTCGATTTCCCGACGCTCCAAGACGGCCCAAGAGGCTTCCAATATCGCCCTGAGAGGCCCCTAAGAGGCTGCCGAAAGGCCCCCAAGTGGCTCCCAAGAGGCTCCCAAGCTGCCCCCCACAGGCCCCCGAGAGCGCACCGAAGAGACCCAAAGAAGCATCCCTGAGGACTCCGACCCACGTGACCGTCGTCGTCGCCGCCGCCCGCGTCGTCGCCGTCGTCCCCCTTCAGGGTGGACGCCACCTGCCGTAAGCACCTCGCAATACAATTCATTTCAGAATGACGCCTCGATCTACACCATAGGAAACAGAATTAGTTGTGCGCACATTGCACGCAAAGTCAGCATGCTTGTGGCGGGCAAGAGTGGGAGGGTCTCTCAAGTCCCTGCTTTCTGCAACTGCATTTTACTCTCTGTTCTTCACCCTCCCCCTTCTCTACATGTGATCTCTACCCTCCGCTCTCACTCATTATCTACCCTCCGCCCTCTGCTTTCGCTCGCCTCTCAACCCTGCCCTCACCACCCTATACTCATTGATATTTTCTGCACTCTGCTCTGTACTCTATACTCTGTGCTATACCCTTCACTCTTAAAGTCAATGATGTTTCAAATGTCTTTGCTTTCGAAGGCCAGGGAACCTTGGCGGAACTGTAAAGCCAACGAGCCAAGGAACTGGGAAGCTGGGAATCATGAGCCCAGGAGCCCGACTGCCCGTTGAGATCAGCAACACACTTCCACCAAATTCTCCCAGCAGTCGCGATGATCCGTCCAGGGCAGGCGCTGATCGGAGAAAAGCGTGTTGGTCTCTCTTTGGCCCCTTGTCCTCGAACGTGAACGAGTTGGGGTCTGCGCGGTACTCCAGCAGCTTCCGCAGAGAAGGCTTCTTGCCCTCGTTGGGGTCGTCGCCGTCGCCACGTGGTGCGGCGGGGTCGCCCGTCCGTCTCCTCATGCGCCCACCGCTGATGGCCCTGCGCTGCGCGGCAAAAAACGCCCGCAGCTGAACGCCTGCGGGCACGGCGACACAGGGAGCGCCGCGAACACCAGTTGGACGAGCAACTCGTGCAACAGGGGAGGAGGAAGGGGGGAACATGAGGACGAGGACAAGACGGCGGATGAGGACGACGAGGAAGGATGAGGAATGAGTAAGAGCAGAAGGAGGAGCAGGAGGAGCGATGTGTGATGAGGAGTAGGCTACATGAGCGAGAAGTAGGACGAACGGCGGCTGGTGAGCATGAGGAGGAAGCACAGGATGAGAAATATATCAATCATCGTCGCAAATCCGCGGGGGGCCCAACCGACGGGACAGGCTGCATACGGAGGTACTGATAGCGCAGGACCACAAGCAAGACTGACGAGACAGGAGGGAGGAGGAGGGGGCGGAGGAGGAGGACGACGACGAGGTTTGCGAAGTGTTTCGCGAACGTTCAGCAACTCTTTGCTGTTCGTTGGAAATTTCTGGGGGGTCCGGATGCGCCAGAAGAAGAAAACGACGCCCAACCAGGAGACGGGAGAAAGAAAAGGCAGATGAGGATGACGAAGAGAAGGGCGAGGAGGAAACGGGATGACGACGACGACGACGACGACGACTAAGGACAAGGAACATGAAGAGAAGATAGGGAGAAAGGAAGGGAGAAGGAGGAGGAGGAGCAAAACCAGGACGCTCCTGAGCCCATGGATCACGCCTCCCCCCAGGGTCAGAACTGCCAGCGCCCCCCCTCTCTCCTCCCTTGTCTGGAGGATCTCGAAGGTTTCGTCGGAGGGCGCGGGAGGGGGCGAGGCGATGCGATGCGAGCGCCGACTCCACTCCGCGCGCGCGGGGCGCCTCCTGGAGAGGACGGCGGTGGGGCCGTAATTAGCCGCTCAGAGAGAGAGTCCGTCCGTCTTCTTTCGTGAGGGTCTGCAGAGGCCGTCTGGGAGGATGGAGATCACATGCGGAGGCGAGACGGCCGAGGCCGCAGACGTGAGGAAGAGGAGGTGGGAGGAGGGATTGCGGATTCTGGGCATGGCGCACTACGAAAGAAAGCGAGAGCGAGAGAGAGAGAGAGAGAGAGGGAGAGAAAGAGAGAGAGAGAGAGGGAGAGAGAGAGAGAGAGAGAGAGAGAGAGAGGGAGAGAGAGAGAGAGAGAGGGAGAGAGAGGGGGAGGGAGAAATGGAGAAAGAGAGAGAGAGAGAGAAAGAGCGAGAGAGAGAGAGAGAGAGTGAGAGAGAGAAGGAAAGACATAAAGAGAGAGAGAGAGAGAGAGAGCGGGAGAGAGGGAGAGAAAGAGAGCGAGAGAGCGAGAGAGAGGAAGCTCGCATCAATTCGGACACGGACGTTCAGGCCTGGCGGGCACTGGAGCCACCCAGGCCATCCTCGCACCTGCGGAAGGCGCCGCTCAACAAACAGGGGGGGAACCTCGGCACGGATGCTTTCGCCGGGGTTGGCTTTCGCCGAGCTTCGTTTCGCCGGGCTTCGTTTCGCCGGGGTTGGCTTTCGCCGGGGTTGGCTTTCGCCGGGGTTGGCTTTCGCTGGGGTTGATTTTCGCCGGGGGGTGGCTTTCGCCGGGTTTGGCTTTCGCCGGGTTGGCTTTCGCCGGGGTTGGCTTTCGACGGGGTTGGCTTTCGCAGGGGCCGGGCGGGGAGCAGGCGCCGTTGCCGCTGGCGTGGCCGTCGCCGCCGCCGTCGTGACCCCTGGGAGCCCTTGAGGCGCGCCGTTTGCCCAAGCGAAAGGGGCGAAGAGACGCGCGGGGGGGGGCTCAGGGAGGTGCGGGATGCTCCAGAATAGTTGACACATCGCCGACAGGTTGGCGATAAGCCCCCAGACAGGGAAGCCGCGCGTTCCTGGAAGGGGCGCTCTGGCGCTAATCGGCGATGAATGGATGATGGGGTATCTATGTCTCTTGTCCCCTCTGAGCAATTTATCTGTTTCTCTTCGCCCCCGGAAGCGGCCAGCGGTCGTGGTGGCGGTCGCAGCTGGTGGGGGCATTGGCGGCGGTAGGGGAAGCTGTGGCGGAAGGGGGCGCGCCGAGACCTCCGACGCCCAGGAAAAACAAAACGGTAGGTTTTTGTGGGCCGGGGTCGGCCGCAGGGGGGCCGGGACGGCCCTCGCGCCAAGATACCTTCGGAACGACTGCGGACCCGAGAGAGCCGCCGGCGTAAACAAATCCGGGGACCCTAACGGGCGGGTCGGGGCGGGCGGGACACTAAACTGTGAGGGCGCGCTCGGCTGAGCACGCGTGGGCCCACGCGTGAACCCTAACGGGCGTGTCCCGTCGGGCTGGCGGACCCTAACGGGCGGGACGGGTCGGGTCGGGCCGCGCGGACCCTAACGGGCGGGTCGGGTCGGGCGGGCGGAGGCACTGAAGTGTGGGTGGGTCACGCCCGAGCGACACGCGTGAACCCTAACGGGCGGGTCGGGTATGGCGGGCGGGCCCTAACGGGCGGGTTGGGTCGGGTCGGGTCGGGCGGACCCTAACGGGCGGGTCGGGTCGGGCGGGCGGGACACTAAAGTGTGGGGGCGCGCTCGAGTGGGCACGCGTGAACCCTAACGGGCGGGACTGGTCGGGCGGGCGGACCCTAACGGGCGGGACGGGTCGGGTGGGGTCGGGCGGACCCTAACACGCGGGTCGGGTCGGGCGGGCGGGGCACTGAAGTGTGGGGCACGCCGGAGCGAGCACGCGTGAACTTCAACGGGCAGGTCGTGTCGGGTCGGGCGGACCCTGACGGGCGGGATGGGTTGGGTCGGGTCGGGCGGACCCTAACGGGCGGGTCGGGTCGGGCGGGCGGGACACCAAAGTGTGGGGCGCGTTCGAGTGGGCACGCGTGAACCCTGACGGGCGGGTCTGGTCGGGCGGGCGGACCCTAACGGGCGGGACTGGGCTGGTCGGGTCGGGCGGACCCTATCACGCGGATCGGGTCGGGCGGGCGGGGCACTAAAGTGTGGGGCGCGCTCGACTCAGCACGCGCGAACCCTAACGGGCGGGTCGGGTCGGGCGGGCGGACCCTGACGGGCGGGACCTCTACGACGACAACGACCACGACGAGGACGACGGCAACGACGGCGACCAGGAGGACGACGACAGCGACAACGGCGAGTACGGCGACGACGACAACGGCTAAGACAACGACGACGACCACCACCACGACAATAACACAACGATGACGACGAAGACGACGTCGACGACGACGACGAGACGACAAATAGGAGGGCGACGACTACTACGACGACGACTCCCCATCCTCCCGTTGCCCTCCTGGTCGCCCTCCTCCGTTCCCCTCGCGGTCTTGCCTGTCCTGTCCTCCTCTGGCCCGCGGCCCTCTCCCAGGATCCATGCCCGTCGCCCGCGCTCCTGATGGATGCGGGAACCCATGTTGCAAGCGAAAACGAGCCCCGGCGACAGCCAACCCGAGCGAAAGCCGACCCGGGCGAAAGCCAACCCGGGCGAAAGCCAACCCAGGCGAAAGTCAACCCGGGCGAAAACCAACCCGGGCGAAAGCCAACCCGGGCGAGAGCCAACCCGGGCGAAAACAAACTGGGCGAAAGCAAACCTGGGCGAAATCAACCGGGCGAAACGCACCGGGCGAAAACCAACACGGGCGAAAAACATCCACGCCGCCTGGAGGTGGCTGGCCCGCTGCTCATGGTGGGTGATGTCGATTCTCCCTTCTCCGTCCAGATCTGGAAACCGATTCAGAAGGTCAGAACTTTTGCATGGCGTCTCGCGGCGGCGGCCCTGGCGACACGCTATGCTCGGGACGTTGACGCTTGGGAATGGGGAGGTGGATAGCGAACCGCGCTGAAGCGTGGTGGGCAAGAACCGGTGGACCGACGCCGCAGTTCCCGATCGCAGGTACTTGCCGACGACGGGCCTCCCGGGAGCCCACACCGAACGGCGCAAAGACGTCCCGAGGCCTCGAACGGCGCCGCACAACCTCGAGCAACTGCGACGGAGGTGAAGGACGAGAGGACGCACCTGCACGTGCTCCGCGAAGGTGGAAGAGAGTGGAGGAGGGGAGGACCTGTACACGTCGGTCGGAAGAGGTAAGTGACCACATGAAGTAGGAGGGCGGATCAAGTAGATGGGGTCCAGGCCCTCCCAGATGATAACAGCATGCAGCAACACACGTGCCGGCTCTTGAAGCAGGAAGGCGTTTGAAGCATATTGGCATCTGGGGGTCAAAAAAATACCAGCACTCGACGACCGTCGTGTAGTGTTTGACCTTCAGCCTCGAGCCTCGAAGCCTCGGCTGGCCCTCCCCCGATTGGACCCCCCTCCTCGAGCATCGGCTCGCAGACCTCCCCGTCCAGGGGAGCGCTCCGCTCGGGCGTTCACAGGGAGCCCTGGCGTGGCCGCGACTGAGCCCCCCAGAGGCCGAACGCGGCTCAGAGAGCGCCCCCGAAGAGCCGAACCCGGAACCCCGAAGAGCCTTCGACCTCAAATGACCCCCGAAACACGTCGACGACGAGACGACGATGTCGTCGTCGACGAAGCCCTCAACGCCAACGGGCCCCCCTCTTGATCAGAGACCGACCGTCCCGGCATTCCCATAGGCTCGGCACGAACTGTTCGCAGAACCCAAACATGTTCTAGTAACAAAAACCCGTGTTCTTGGAACATGAGCCCGATGTGCTAAAACAGACGGTCTCGGCCAGAATCATTCTAAGGACACTTCGTGCAGACCAAAAGGTTTTCAGAACCTTCTTTGGTGGGCCTTTTAGGCGAGCCAGGACGCTTCTCAGCTACACGCAAGCGCGACCCTAGGCAAGAGTGACGTTTGGTGCGCAGACCAAGGGGGCGCAAGGAGGCCAAATCCAAGCGCGCAAACAGCCGCTATCGCATCGCGCCCAGCGATTGGGTGGACCCCGATGAACCCGCACCAACGGTCACTCCGGCGAGGGTCACCCTTACGCGTTGCTCGGGGGCGGCCAAGAGGGGGGCGTCCAAGATGGGGGGGTGCAAATCATGGCTGGCGGCACGTGCGCGGCCCAAGGGGGAGCCAGGGACGTGATGAGATAAGAAGAGGCGCCATGAAACCTGAAGAACTATCATGGCCCGCGCCATGATACCCCCCCCCCTAATCATCACCCCCCTCTGTGCCGCCCCCGAGTAGCCGAGCTTCGCCACTGCTCGATAGCGGGCCCCCCCTTGAGCACGGACCGACCGTCCCGGCATTCCTATAGTCCTACCACGAAATGTTCTTAGAACCCAACCATGTTCTCAAAACAAAAACAATGTTCTTAGAACAGCAGCCCGATGTGATAAAACAAGACAGGCTCCGCCAGAAGTGGCCTGAGAACATTTCGCGGACACCACAGAACAAGTTCTCAGAACATGGTTTGGTAAGGCTATAGTGGGGGAGCCAGGACGCTTCGCCACTGCTAGGGGACCGCATGCGAACCCTACCCCTACCCCCCACGATTTCTGAGGGGGAGGGTGGGGTTCACCTCGCTCGGGAGCTCCCGAACGAAGTGAACCCCACCCTCGCCCTCAGAAATCGTGGGGGGTGGGGGTAGGGTTCGCATGTGGCCCCCTAACTGCTTGACACCTCCCCGCGCGGGGGCGCCCTGGCCGAGCCGCGGTCCTCGGCGGCGGCGGCGGGCGCGCGGAGAGCGCCGCCAGCGCCGCCGCCCGCCTCTCTCTCTCTCTCTCGGGCGGGGGGGAGGAGGCCCGGGCCCCACGGCCCCGCGGAGCCGGCAGGCCGGGGCGAGCACCAGCAATTATAGGGGGGGGAGGAGGGGGAGGAGAGTGAGGGAAGGGAGAGGAGAGGGGGAGGGGAGGAGGAAGGAGAGGAGGATGGGGAGGGGAGGAGGAGCGGGAGGAGGAGGAGGAGAGGAGGAGGAGGAGGAGAGGAGGATGAGGAGGAGAGGAGGAGGAGGAGGAGGAGGAGGAGAGCCAGGGCCGACGAAGCCGAGGGGTCGGGCTTCGTCGGTCCTGGCTCTCCGGTGTGGGGAGGTGTCCAGACCTCTGGGGTCCATCTCTGGCAGAGCTCGTGGCGGCGGGGGCCTGGGGCTGCTGTCGGAGGCTCGGAAATGGGCACCACAGGGCTGGACAAAAACGTTGTTGTCCGTTTTGTTTTCGTTTTGTTTTTCGTCCTGCTCTGCCTGTTTTCCAATACCTTTCCTGCCAGAGCGAAAAACAAAGCACAGCCGAAGTCCAGCAAAACAGCGTTTAGGTCCAGCCCTGGGGTACCATTGCCAACACATGGGGGTGCCTCCACCAGGGGCAGATGATCCTGGATCTTGGTGTGGTCAATCTCGGAGAAGGCGCGAGGGCTTCTGAGAAGTCACGCCGCTTTCTGAGCAGTCACGCCGTCTTCTGAGAAGGCCTTCTCCTTCTCACGTCCCCCCCCTCGCTCGCCGCCGCTCGAAGCCCGAATATTACCACCATCGCCGGGACCGGGATCATCCTCCTCGGGGGAGGCACACCGCCGAGATTGGTGCTGGTGTCGGCCTCCAGGCCTCCGAGGACACCCTGGCGTCGCACCTTTCTCGCAGCGGGCGTTCGCCCGCTCCCCTTTCCGCTTCTTGCTCATGGCGCCAGCAGGAGACACGGTGCAGGCGGCACCAAGCGGCAGTGACACGGGTGCTCCAGGAGTGCAAGCGGCACCACGCGACAGTGCTAATCACTGGGGCGGGCGGGCGGGAAGGACAAGCGGGCCCCCCCTGTCACCCCAGACTGCTGCGGCATGCCAGGGAGAAGCAGGACAGGGAAGCAGGGGAGAGGCCGAAGCGGCAGGGCACGCGGAGCTAACGTTGCTTCGCCTTCGCGAGCCCGAGTTTTTGCCGTGGTTCGGGCCTCTGGACCCTCACGGGTCCATCGGCTCGAGACATGGCGCAGAGAGATGCGGTGCAAGGCTCACGTCGATGTCTTACATGACGATGCTGCATCTTTTCCGCAGCGTCGGATCTCAGGGACCACGGCGGGGCGATCTTGTGCCCCGCCTGGGCCCGATCGAGCGATCAGCTCGTGGCCAGGGCGGCACCGCCATCGCGAGTCCTGGGCCCAAGTCTGCCCGCGTCGTGGCAGAAATCACGACGGGACATTTTTGGCCGCCATCGGCCTCCAGGGGCCCTCGCGGGGCCCCAGGGGCCGTCAGCAGACGACTCGGGGCGACTCAGGTCGGGGCATGACTGGGGGCTCCGTACCGAGACAAAAAAAACAAGTCGTCGCATGACTGGGGGCGATATGCGCCCTGAGACCTGGGCGCCGCTACTTTCTCATGCCGGGCAGTTTCGCCCGGTTTCGGGCCCCACGGGGCCTTCACAAGTCGATCTGGCTCGAGAGATGCCGCAGACAGCTGGGGTCGAGGTCTCTGGCTGCAATGTTGCAAGATGCCGTGATGCTTTGCGACGTCGGATCTCGGGGTGTGGCGGCTCGAACTGTATCGAGGCTGGCCCCGTGGAGGGTGTCGAGAGGTCGAGGGGACCATGCCTCGAAGACATCGCGCCGTTGAGAGCCCGGGGACCTGCTGCTTGGAAATCTTCGGTGCGACGGACGCGTGCGCACTGTGAAGCCATCGTGCTACCATAGGGAGCGATGAATAGAGAGCGAATGGGGCTTTTCCGACCCAGATCACGAACAGGCTCCCCGACCCAGATCGAAGGAGCGGCCTGGACACCGGAGCCCCTCCTGAGGCCAAAGTGGTCCTTCCTCCAGCGCCTTGACTGTCGTGCCCCTCCGGCTGCAGCTCCAGTCCGCGCGGGCTGCTGCGCAAGGCCAGCGAGGGGCGCTTCGGATCCCCAGGGGGCCCCGGGCAGGAGGCTCAGGATTACAGGAGGCCCCGCGGGGGCCGAGGCCGAGGAAGAATTCCCGACGCCGACGCCGACGCCGACGCCGACGCCGACGACGCCGACGCCGACGACGCCGACGACGCCGACGACGCCGACGCCGACGACGCCGAAGCCGACGCCGACGCCGACGCCGACGCCGCCGACGCCGACGCCGACGTCGACGCCGATGCCGACGACGACGACGACGACAACAACGACGGCGACGACGACGACGACGACGACGAGGAGATCGAGGCTCCTCCCCGAGTCCAGCGTCGGGGATCTTCTGTCCCGGGCCAATCCAAACCAGGGTCAGTCAGGCCCTGCAAAATCCTGCAAGATCCTGCGAGATCCTGCGCCCAAGCCCAGGTCAATGCGAAGGATCCTGCAGGATCCTGCGCCCAAGCCTGGTCAATGCGACCCTGGCCATGCAGGATCCTGCAAGATCGGGCGCTCTGGCTGACCCCCGTTTGCGTGGACCCCCGTCTCTTGAGTCCCGAGACGAGGGGGATGGGGGAGGGCGGAGGGGGAGGGGCAGGGGGAGGCGGAGGGGGAGGCGGAGGGGGAGGAGGAGGAGGAGGAGGAGGAGGAGGAGGAGGAGGAGGAGAAGAGGAGAGGGGAGGCGAGGAGGAGGAGGACAGGAGCAGGAGAGGAGGAATGGCGACGATGGCGACGAGGAGATCGAGGCTCCTCCCCGAGTCCAGCGGGCGCCCCGGGCCGCGGCGCGCCGGCGCCCCCCGGCGCCGCCGCCGCCTGCGCGCCCTTTCCGGCAGCGCGCCGCTTCGACCGCTTGCCTGTGCGGGGGTGCGGGGCTCCGAACCTCGAGGCTCCAGCTTTGGGTCGGGCGTGTCCTCCTGCAGGGGGATGTTTTGTTGAGCGAACAGTACATGACAACTAACAGCTTCTCAACAGGCCCGAGGCCCGAACCCCGAGACTTCCCGAGCCTTCTGCATAGGCTCACCCCTTGTCATTTCCCTCCCATGGGCTCGCCGCCGAATCGGATCATGGCGCGGAGGCCGTGGCCTCGACAAGGAAGACCATGGATCCCAGCACGTGAAACCCGTCCGCCGTCGTGGCCACCCCTTTCCGATTTCTTCCAAACGGAGATTTTGGCTGACTGAAGCCTTGCGTCAAGCAAACGCGTGGGCAAGATTGCACGTTGGCAGTCATAAGAGAAAATCAACGCATACGCGCAATAAGACTACAGACCCTGGCAGGTCGCGGGAGGAGAAAAAAGGGGGGAGGGGAGTGGGAGTGGGAGAAAGGGGGCAGACGGAGCGGGGGCTAACTCTGCACCCGTGCCAGAATACACGCGCAGTGTGCCCACTGCTGTGTCGGACGACCCCGGCCTCTACGCCGAGTAGCCCAATTTCTAAGGCAGCCGTTCGCATCGCGCACTAGTTGTTTAACCCGTGAAGCGTCGCTCTTCGAAGCAATCGCTCTCAAAAACTGCACTTGGTGGTCACTCAGAATTGCAAAGAGAAGCTTGGAGCCCGCCGTTTCCAATACATCTGCATTAGACACCCTCGAGAAATAAGACGGAGCGATCCCAACACTCTTCCGCAAGCACTCGCAGAGGAAAGCATCCAATCTGCATTTGTCTGCCTTCAAAACCGGAACGAGTTCAGCGACGACTGGAATTTGCTGAGAACGCAAGACGTGTAGATCAGCAACTTCCGTTGCTTCCGAATTGTAGAATGCCCCCCAATCTGACTTAGTTGCTGAAAAGTAAATCCGCTTTCCCCCAACCGCCTGTTCAATTCATTGCCCACTCGTCCGTCTTGCGTAATCAGTCCTCCCAACTATACCGCCTCTGTTACAACCTTGATCGGTTCCCCACCCGGCCCTGTGACTTGGTCATTGGTGGAGACTTGGGTCTGTACGGTCTTGTCCCAGTTCGACTCCAAGCCGTATTTCTGTGCTTCCGAGATGATAGCGCCCATAATCTGTTGTAATTGCCGACATGCTGCGATGCCAACGCTGTCGTCAGCATACGAAATATCCCGGGTTACTATATATTCAGGTTCTTGGAGAAATTGTAGGCCCGAGAACACGCCTGCCAACATCATCGTTTGTACAATAATACACAAGTATGGCGACAGAGGACAACTTTGTGCGATACCAGCAGCCTGCAGACGTTCAGAAGAGTTACCACAATGATCGACCATAGTAAATCAACGATGTGGTTAGATGCCGCTGACCATGTCTAGGATAGGTGGTGGTAGTCCAAATCGTACCAAGGCAGGGCACAGACATTCTGGTTTCAATCGAGCGAAAGCCTCCGCCCAGTCAAAAAGTAACATAGCAAATAGTCAGAATATATTCGAACATAATCAACAAAGGTCCACGAATCGTCCCCAGACTAATTTTGAGCTATATTTGAATCTTTCCCCTGTAGAGAGACATGCCCGACTTAAGTCCAGCTCCGAGGTTCTTGGTTGCTCGCTGGGCGCTCTGAGCTTCGGGGGGGGCGCTCTCTCGGAGTGCATCGCAGGACGCGCCCAGGATGCTCGCAGGTTTGACCCCCGAGGTCTCCGAAGTCAGACTCCCTCGCGACGCGACAACTTGCGACGGAAGGTTCGTTACTGCCATTTCAGCCTACGGGGGGCCTCACTGGACCCCAGGACCGTCAACCAACAAACACTGGAGTGCAAAATCGGTCCCAGGAATGAATGCTTCCCACATGGGGTCCGAGTAGATGGTGTCGGAGGATCGCGCCGTATCGCCGATGCATCGCCGATGCATCGGCGATGCCTTAGCAACGTCGGCGATGCATCGGCGCCGTCGGCGTGGAGAAAATAGGGCTCCACATCGAGCCGCATCGCCGATGCATCGGCGAGGTGTGCGGCCCTCCAACCCCATCTGCTCAGACCCCACATTGTGAGGCCTGAAGGGAAAGGGGTCGAGACCTCCAGAGGCCCACGTTGTGCAAAAATCGCGCCGTCGGGAATTTCCTTCCCAGGGGCCCCCCAGCGTGTCCCCTGGAGGTATCTGGAAGTGCCCGGAGGCCGCTGGAGGCCTCCGCTGAGGTCTTCAGGAGCCTCCATGCGGAGCCCTCCCACGAAAGGCCCGACACATCCAAAAGCCGTCGTCCCCAGTCCTCGAGTGGAGTGGCAATGAGCCCTGGACTCTCGTTGTCGTTATCGTCGCTGCCGCCGTCGTGATCGTCGTTGTCGTCGTCGTCGCCGCCGCCATCGTCATCGTCGTCGTCGATGCCGCCGCCGCCGTCGTGATCGTCGTCGTCGTCGTCGTCGCCGTCGTCGTGATCGTCGTCGTGATCGTCGTCGTGATCGTCGTCGTGATCGTCGTCGTGATCGTCGTCGTCGTCGTCGTCGGCGTCCTCGTCGGCCCTGGGCTTTTCAGCGGCCCACTCGCCTCTGCCACCGGTGCCCTCCGCGCTGCCGAGGCCGAGGCCGCTGCGGGAGCTGAGCCGGGTCTTGAAGCTCTCCAGCGTCGAGGCCTCGGCGATCCCGGCTGCGGCGGGCCCTCTTGCGCCATGGCGACTCGTGCGTTGGCTCCTGGCGCCGCGTGGGCCGTCTGGCACGAGGTCCTGAGCTCCTGGCGTCTCGACTTTTGCACGACGGGCGATCCTGCCCTGTGTCGGGCCCCCGGGCCGTCACAGATCGATCTGGCCCAGAAAAGGCAAAAAAGAAACCGGGGATCTGCTGACCAGGGTCAATGCACACCCGGGTCAGTCAGGCCTTGCAGGATCCTGCGAGATCCTGCACCCAAGCCCGGGTCAATGCGAAGGATTCTTCAGGAC